TGGACTATACATTATTCAAGATAAACAATTATTATTATTATTATTATTATTATTATTATTATTATTATTATTATTATTATCATTAGACAGCACAACCTTATTAAAGATATGGATGCGATTTGAGTAAGCTGATAGAAGTTTTGAGCATGTGTTTACAATAAAGATTTGGGTGACTATTGACTTCTAGTGTTTTATAGCAGCACTAGCCTCGTAGCTCCAGCCCTAAACTAAAGAAGCAAAATTTGACTACCAAACATGTCGTGGATAATCAGCTACATCTGGGGTAAGTGGAAAATTGTGTAATTCTGAAACTATTTATTTGAACCCAACCTTAGTCTTAATGTCAATTACAAAATATAACATCTTTTGACTTTTGTCTGTTTTTGTAATCAAAGAGAAGAAAAGGAAAAAAAACAAAAGAAAAGCATTTGCCTCCACAAAATCAGAAATTTATTTTTTACGGACTTCTAAGGCATTGATCAAGCAAACACACATACACACACACACACACACACACTTTGATTCAAATAGGCTAAACCTTTCACTTTAACTGATGTGAGAGGCATCATAGTGTATGCAGACATCCTTAATATTCAATCAGTGCTTTAAAGTCAAAATAAAGTTCTCTTCTCATTTATCAAACTATACAGACTAGCAGTGACTCATAGAATCCCTTTATAACCAAATCAAAAGACTCAGTGCATCGTCTCGCTTCTTTGTAATTACAAAGAGATATATTGTTTGTAAAAGAAAGAACTTCTAAAGAACGTCCCACCAACAATAAAACACAGTTACAGCTCCTGCTCACTGTATAATCACAGTAGAGGGCTAATACAGCAACAGACACAGAACTGGACATAAATGTCAGTATGTACACATCTTTATATTTTTGTGTTTTATCAGTCTTCCTGCTGTACTGAACAGTGTGAAGGCCCATAATCAAAACAACACACAGGCTGTATTATTCCTGCTATAGGGTACTACTTATCTTGCTAGCAAGCAATGTAAGTAAAGCTGACCATGGTAACAAAAGTGATTTCTGTACTGTGAAAAAACAACAAGAAAATGACAATTTCCCCCTAGACTTCTGCGTCTAGGGTTTTCTGGAAAATTAGCCTAAACTGTGAAAATACCTGTGTTTTTACAGGATATTCCTCTGTAATAATTTCAACAGAATTTCTCTGTTTCTGCATTTCATTTGAACTTTTCCATATTTCCAACCACACACTGCCATCTGGGTAGTAGAATGAGATCAGAGCAGAGAATTGCACCTTTGTCATGAGAGAGAGCAGCTAGGTCCTTTTTTACCATAGTGATAAATTCTAATATGTTAAAATTTGATATTTAATAAATATTGTATATTAATATTAAATAAATATTTAATATGCTAAATATTAAGTATTTCTTGTTAATGATTTATGTAACTTGGGAGATATATAGGCAAATATATGAAATTAGAAGAATAAAAACAATTCAACATGTTTTTGTTTTATTCACAATGACAGTATTTTGTTGTTCCTATATATCACTACAGCTTGTTCTGCTGTCATAAAAATAAATAGGTGGTGACTTTAAACCTAGCAGATGCTAACTGGGCTTTTAGTGGGCAATTTTATAAGGCTTTGCTTTATTGCTCAGATATCCTTTCTAAATCCCACATCACAAAAAAGACTCCAGTTATAGGCACATCAGTGATATTTTTTTCATTGATACTGCCAAATCTGCAGGTTGTCAATAATGGATGATGTTATCAGTCAAACATATATTGGTTGGGTACTATTGGAGAAGATTTTTCTCTTTTGAGGTTTTTCACTGATAAAGCTGTAAAATTACGGAATGTTCAGTATATGAAGGAAAGGTATTGTTCTGCACCTACACAGAATGTGTACTATAATTTAACAAACATTTCTATCAAAGTAGTGGCAAATTTGTCTATTAAGTTTGCAGAAAATGTACTGGTAATTTTTTGCCAGTATATTTTCTGGGGGTTTTTTTGTTGTTTTTTTTTGGGCTTATTTATTTATTTACATTTTTTATTATTTATTTAAATTTCATTTTAAGATAACACTCTAACTCTGTTATACAGGTTGATTCAAAAACACTCTGATTCAAAATGATTTATTTCACTTGTAAATCATTACAGAACAATGTGAAAAATTTTGAATTGTTTAAATGCTCAATATGAACCTCCTCCAGCTGTACGGACAACATCAATGCAATAGTCAAATTCATCCCATACTCAATTGAGCATGTCAGGTGTCACTGTACTCACAGCTCTTTCAGTGTGATTTCGGAGATCGTCCAGTGTTGTGGAACCAATGATGAATGCTCTGAGCTGGTGGAGGTTCACAGCTGACGAAAATCACATTGCACAGTTATGACGGATTCACTGTTATTGAAGTGGAGAACGCAAAATGCTTTCTGCTCAGGGGTCACCATCTCCTCATAGACTGAACTGAGCCTCCTCTTTCAGTTGGTATGTGATTGGTTTGATGGAGATTTTGAATAAATATTCCCTAAATCAGTAATCAAACAGATTAGATGTTGTAATCAATAACAAAATAGGTAGTATTGCCTAACAGAGAATATTAATTCTCTCACAAAGGGTAGGCCTTAGACTGTCTGCATAGGAGATTCTAGACACTGGAAAGCAGCTGGGTTCACAGACAGGCCTGTGTGTACCTATTGACCCGGGGAAGAAGGGCAAGTTGACCTTGAAAGGTAGATCAGGCTGGTAAAAACCTGTTGAAGCCAGTTTTGAGGAGTGAGCTCATCATGCGATGTCCAAATTGATGGACGAGATGCACCTATTAGAGAATGAGCTAATATCAAAATTTGAGAAGTAAGGCATGGGGATTTTACATTACCCCAGATAAATGGTATATAAACTGTTGTTTGGAACACTGTATTTGTGCAGTTGGGGTCTCTTGAGACCCTGTGCCACCTGATGCTGAAATAAAGAGGAAGGCTTTTTCTCCCTTCCACAAGAACTCAGCGGCTGAAGTCTTTTATTCTACTTTATTTTATTTTTGATTGAATACCCTTTCTGTTTTTGTTTATTTTATTTTTGTAAGTGATTAAGACAATAATTAGAACAAAACCACAGCACAGAGTAGTTTAGATTTTAAAAACCATCATATGTCATGGCTTTGGGCAAGGAAGAAAATAGCTCTTGGTCCCAACAGGTTCCTAGTCGCCTCACAGTTATAAAAATATGGCGCTTTGAAATCAGATTAATCTTTTTGAATCACCCTGTATAACATTAACAAACATTCCACAAATATTTTATGGCAGACGTTATATCACATCATGAGTCATTAGTGCAGATTTTGTTTAGTAATTTAACAGTGTCATGTTCCCATTACCAGTTGCCATGAAATATATTATAATGTTTGATGTCATGACAGCTTATGTCACATGCTAATTTTTGCTAAATGTAGTCGTCATGACATCAAATATTATGACATTATGACATCTATCATGACAATTAACAATCATGGTACTGTTATATTTCTGGACATCATTTATCATAACATAACATCTACCATTACATGTTTATGGCATGGTTATGCCAATGCTATAGCAAAGACCAAGTATTACACTTTTTTTCTCTGTTTGTGTGTTCCCTGTTTGTATGTGTTTTCTATCAATATGAAATGACTTTCACAATCATAGACTGTCAAACTCCTCCATCTCTATTTACACACAGAAACAGGCCCCCCATCCCCCTTGCCCCGTGGATGAGGTAAGAGAAGCAGAGAGAGTCACACAACCACACACTGAACATCAGAACAACTTAAGATCTCATTAAAATAATCTGGACCTTGTTTGATTGTGAGGCAGCAGCGGCGCCATTACAGATAGGAGAGCAATTTTGCGTCTGATTTGTCAGGTTGTCTTGCATGAGTGTTCCCCATTGCAGCCAATATGCTTTTAATTTGACTGAGGACAGAGAGCAAATAATGTTCTCTCTGTGATGTATGTTTATGTCCCCAGGTGCTGTTCAAAAAACAACTGATTCGATTTGGCAGCACTGATTAATGCCAACACATTCAGCTGACATTTATGCAAAATAAGAAATCTGTTAGTTAAATCAGTGAGCCCTGTTAGAAACTGTGGCCATGAGCAGCAGGTCAATAGATGGTAGTGGCTGCTCTGAACAGGGCTCAACATATGATGCAGGATAGGACAGAATGCAGACATAAAAAGCCTAGGACTGACACTGAGACCGACTACAATTAAGCCTTAGAAATTGAGAGTTATTATTTCATTTTACTGCAGTATTCAAGTACAATTGCATAATTACACAGTAATTACATAGTGAGTTCCACCATGAATTACATTACATCAGATTTACATTGTGTATTAACAGGTTAGACAGGTGTAAATCATAATAAAATCTCTACTTACAAACATACATTTTTTATTGATTAAAAGTTTTGAATCTCCTCTTCCAACAATTTTCAACTACAAGTAGTGTATATGAACATTCCATCAGCCCTTTAATTTGTGTGAAAATTTCATGACAAATTGAGAAACGGAAATGGTTCAGAATTACTTGAAATATAATTTTGCATTAAAAGTTGAGAATTTATTTTCCCTTTGCTGAAAAGTTACCATTTTTGCGATACAAGGATTTGTTCAGATAGCAATGCAGCAGACATATGTACACCTTAGCCAACAGCAGTACTCTAAAACTCTGTCCATCTTCCTTTGTAATGACATCACCATAAAAAGACAGTTTTAACTTGTTCAGTCTGTAAGTCTGATTTTATCTAGTCTATTTCTTTAGCTCAGTACAAAGATATGAGGAGTTGCAGTGCTGTTCATTAGCCTACTGTATCAACTGTCCTTTTCCAGAGCCAGGTCTTTCCATGTGTGGAAGTTTCAGTGGCTGGTTGGGAACGTGGCCATCCATCCGGCCATCTCCTGAGAGCTCCCTGGGAGAGTTGAGGCTTATTTTTGGAGCTCCTATTAATACTGCCGTCTCCTGGATAAGAAGCAGTTAGTGGAGCAGTCCAGCATCCAGGCTTTGGGGCTCCAGCAAGGCTCTCCTCACTCGACATCTGGGAGAATTGACACAACGTTGAGAGCAAATGGATTCTACTGGTAACATGTAGAAGGTTTACCTTTTAGCTTTAGCAGCTCTGCTGCTATTTTGAAGAAGTAGTTCAGTCTAAATTTAGCTAACATGAATAACGATGAATGAAAATTACTGGGGACAACTTACCATGCTCTCATTTGCATAGTGCTAAATAGCCTATTAGCAACATTAGTGATTATAGATGAACTAATCCTTTAAAAGAATAGTTTGACCAAACATGGTAAGATGGCTAACAACAAATGGAGGAGCCACCAATGAGAATGACTGCATAATTCTAAATGGTGGCTATTCATTCTCATTAATTGACCAAGCTACTCCTCTAAAGCCAACAGTTTAATGTGCCATAGTTAGCTACCATCTGCTTTTACTCATTTTTCATCTGTTGTATTAAACTTAATCTGATTAGTAGGTTTATAACTCAATAATCTGTTGCTCTCCTTCTACTATGAGATTTTGCTGACTGTGGTTAATACAACTTCCCCCAACTGTCAACCTGAGAGAAAATCATGGAGTAAAAATGTGAGGTCAGGATAGTCTGCCCAATGCAGGCATTTATTTGAACAGAAAGCAGATGGATCTGCAACTCTTAGTCTCCATGGCAACAGCCATAGCAACAACAAACAAGTGTCAGTTTTGATTCCTCATTTTTGAAGGTCTTCAAAAATTGTTGTAGTTAAAGCCATAGTGAATAAAGAGCAATACATTAGAACATAGTACAGCTTAGCCTTCCCTTGAAAGCCCCAACATAGATATTACATACTCTATATTTAGTACATGAGAAACTGAGGTGGAGAAACATCCCTGTTATTTATAGCCTCCACCATTATAACTTATATCATGAGTAGCTGTCCATGGTGCTGAAATATCCTCCTGTACTTTGGCACTATTATCAATCTGGCTGAAATCATTTTATTTTATGTACTTTTTTTTCAATAGTGCAGTAGATCATATCTCTGCCATCACTGCTATTATGTAATAGCATGGTTCATCACCCTTAGAATCATAACAGTACTCCTGAGTTGATATCTGTTGTGTGGATTTTGACTCACTCTTATTGCAAGAATGAGATTACAGTTGAGAGGCTTAAAATGGGTTTGACCCTAATACTGAAACAGCTGGCCTGCCACAGCTTCTACTCACAGGTGATTGTGCACACATACAAATGAGAGATAAACAAAGCTAAACATTCTCAACATTTCAGAGAAATATCTCATTTTTGGAGCTCTTTAAGATGAAAACACATATTGCTAAAGTATTGACCAAACGTGCTTCATTTAATGAGGCCCCAGGAGATCTGACAAAACCCTGTAATCATTGCTGTCATAAAAACAGAAAGAACGTGTATCAATAAAACTTCATAGAAGAAGAAAAAGGTTTCCATTTGTTAAGAGTGGCATAACCATCAACAGTGCAGGTACAGCAGTCACACTGTGGTGGTTGAACCTGCTAGCATCTTTTTTGGATGTCCCTTCTTACACTTTTGGGTAGCAAGAGTAATGTAATAACATACTTTAATCATTAGTCTGCATTAGACACTGACTTGGCTGAACTATACAGTTGCAAAAGTTTGAACGCCCCTGCTCAAATTACATGTTTTGTTGATTTTCTAGGTGAAAATATGTTAACATATTCTCTACAGAGGACAGACTTAAAGAAGAACATAATCATTCAACCATTTAGATGTAAACAAAATCATCCAGAGTCACAATTGTTCATTATTATAGCACTAGGAACCAGATCGAACCACTCTGAATGATTTTGTTTACATCTAAACCATTGAATGATAATTTCTAAACTAATTTTACAAAATCGATGGAGTTCCCCTTTAATTATGGCATTTGGTGCACAATATCTGTTTGTTTGCTACAAAATAAAGTGTAATATATAAAGTGCACCCTAATGTTTGCACAGGTCACATTTAATTTTTTTTAGATTTAGTAAACAAACAGTAATTGTGTATTAATGTGTGCATGAGTGTGTTCTCTGTAGAGGATGTGTTATCTTATTCCATTTAGAAGATCAACAAAACATGTCATTTGACCAGGGGCGCCCAAACTTTTGCAGATGACTCTGGCATTGGTGTGTAAACAAGCAAATTAATCACGCTGCCATTTAAAAAAAAAAATCATTAAAGTTTTTTGTGTGTGGGCCCTTAATTTATTCATTTGTTTGCAGTCCTCGTTATACCATTGTTATTATAACTGTATAACTACATAGTTAATAAAACAAAATACATTTCTGTTGGTCCATTTATCATGAAATGTGCACACAGAGTAGACGGCAGCTTTCTCAAATAGTGTAATAAAATAATTTGTTTTTTCATATGACTGCAATGTAATATAAGCTAAAAAAACAATATATATCTGTTTGTATTGATTTATTTTAAATATACTTTAATATAACTATAGGCTAATATGATGGTTTCTCAAAGCTGAGTCTACTCTCTCACTCTGCTCAGTAATCTGAGCACTGCGGCGTCTGGTTATAGTAAGCTTTATCAGGCCTGAATGCAGTGTGCAAGCATACATATGTATTGGGCTGTTAGGGGCTGTGTGGGTGGCAGGTATTTATTGCCTAAACGTGGGGTGGTAGTGAGGCGTTCAGTAACACGGGCTGTTTACACATAATCATATCACTGCCGTCCCTCCAGCCTCAGGGCACCAGGAGAGAGGGAAAGAGGGAGAGAGGGAGAGAAGAGGTGGTGTGGTAATGGAGACAGTGAAAAAGACAGGGCCGGTGTTGATACATCAGTGCGTACTGATTCTCTCACCTTTTCTCTAAATTTCACACCCCCTTCTCTTCTCTTGCTTCTTTAGTCTCTTGTGTACACGCATGCTTTCCTTCATTTTGCTTTGTTATCTCGTTCTCTCATATTCATTTCTCTCTCTCTATCTCTCTCTCTCTCTCTCTCTCTCTCTCTCCTTGTTCATTCTCTCACGCTCATCTCAGAACACACAATGCCTATCGATCTTCTGAGCACTGCAGTAGATGGATTGGAAGTCAGCAGGAGTGAAGCTCCCTGTTGCTCTGCTGGTTTAGGGCTGAGAGAGTAGGCTAAAGCTTTTCCTACTGTCTTGATTGCTAGTTTGAAGCACTTGATCATATGTTGCTTAAAAAAGAGAGTGAATTGTCATCTCCTTCTTTAAGGCTATTTATACTCTAGTAATCTATAAGTAATTTGTATGACCAATTAGTGCAAGGATAAGGTAGCCCAAGTTTCCCAATTGACAACAACTAGACTGTATGGAAATGTCATAGCCCTGATGTACAATCAGGCATAATACTCAATGACAATAACAACACGGCACGGATTTTAGCATGATTCACACGTTCACACTTGCCATGAAAGTCATACATGACGTGACTGATTCATTTCTGAATCGTGTACAGAAATACAGTCAGAATTACAGCAGAAATACTGCAATGATTTTCATCAAAAACGGTAAATGTTTTGCCTTGTCAGCAAAGCTGCGTCACTTTTTTCATGCAGGCAGGGTACATTTTGGCTGCGTCTCTCTAGAATCCCATACAGAATACATTCCCATGGTGTTTTCACAAAAATACAATAAAAAAACTGTAAAAACATAACTGTCGCAGAAATATTCCATTTTAAATTCAGTGTGTTTCCCAGGAGTGTATTGGCTTCTGTTCACACATGAGCTCTCCTGGTAATTTCACCATTAATTGTATTTGGTCTTGTACAGATACATTTTTGCTTCAACTTTATTTGGGTTTGGACTCTGGCTTGCATTCATAGTTAACACCTTCCTGCTTAATTACCGTTAAGAGTGCATTTGTGAAAAAAGCTAAATTGAGTACTTCTGTAATCTACTAGCTATTTTTGATTTAAGTAGTTTGTGTTCACACTGGGAAATTAAAAGACGTTACACCTGCATAATGTACTAGAACTGAAGAAAATCTAAGTTGCTGAACATTGCACACTGTTTGTACTCTCAGGTCTCAAGCTAAGATGTATGCAGAAGAAGGAAAGGAGTCATCAGATGAGGTTACAATTTCATATTTCTAATGTGAGTTGGATTGTCCCTCAAGAACTGCATTCATACACAACACTATAGGGCTTGTTTCAATATTGAGCTAATCATAGCTAACTCCAGTTCAAAAACATGAAGTGCTGAGCACTTATATGCCATTTCCATTTACTGCAGAATGTGCTTGACATGAGACAGTATTGCCCTACCAGACCTGAGACAGAGCTAGCTTTAGAAATGCACAGCACATAGTGTAAGAATACAGTGCATTATGTTTGAATTGAGACACTTGGCAGGCTGTTATTACATTAGGGTGAAGTTGATCTGAACAGACCTGCTATTACTGAGAGAGCTCCAGGTTCTGTGAATTTCATAAGGAAATTCACTCTGGAATTATTCCTGTCAAACTTCTAAAAACTTTGGACATTGCTTTTTCGTACTGGATTAAAATCTAACCACGAATCTCATCGGTAAACACTTAACTTCTAATACATCTCCAGATAAAGCTAATCCATCTCAAATGGGCCGTTTGTCTCTAACATATTGATTTTTTAGTCAGCAGACAGGATGTTTGGCCTAAGTTAGTTTGCAAAGCTCCTTATGGGCTGTAAAATAAATCTTGTTGCTTCATTATGGCACATTGTATAGAGAAGCTGTTTTTAATGAGGTGATGTTTATTACCCCCTTCCTCTTTCTCTCACCCTCCATGCAGTCCTCTCATTACCCCATGCTCTACTGCTGTGGCTCATATGGAGAAGAGGAACCCTGATGAGTCTCATCGCTATAACTGATGACACGCTGCTGTTTTTTACAGCCATGAAAACTGAACGACTTCTAGTCCCAAGGGTTTGCACAGAGAGAGCTGCTGAAGCTGCTGCTGGCAAACCTTGTATCTACTTCACTTGCTAAGTCAGTCTGATAGGGATTATAATGGCTTAATATTAAAGTATCAATATTTCCAAGTGTTTTTATTTAATCAATAATTTGAATATAATTTGAATAAGTACCTATTGTCGCCTGTTGCTGCGGCACTGGGTGGGTGAGTGGTACAGATTTAAAGAAGGTGAAAAGCTGTCTCTGAACAAGAGAGAGAATAAGTGACATTATGTATAAAACTGAACTGTACAGAACTGTGTGGACTGTGTGGCAGGGTTATGTGCATGGTGATTGTACTGATCAGTATGTTTTAATGCTTTTCCAAACTAGACATTAATGTTAGTGATAGTACTACTCTACACTGAAGTAACTAAACATTGTCATGTTGGTTAACTTACATAGGAACACTTATATTTGAGCTCAGTATGTTGATCAGTCCCACCAGGAACTCACAGCCTCTTTTTTGGGGGGAGTTTTTGGGCCAAAATGCTTTAATTTGTATTGGATATTCTCAACATTTGTGGCAATATTTGCATATGTTTTGAATGAAGCCTGGTAGGTTCCTGATAAAAACAAGAGAGAAACAAATTGGATATTCAGTGAAAAACAAGACAGTATAGATTCAAAATTAAAAATATAGATTTTAACTCTGTTTTAATTCACAATATTAAAACAATATTCAATAAATATTGAATATTGAAATGATATAAGGAAACCACTTGCATGCAAAATAATCACCATATTTCAACAGTGAAATGTGCAGGACAGATGAAGAGAAGAAACATTCAGTAGTACTGTAAGACTACACCAGGACAATATCTAAAACTACTTAGCACAATGTTTTCTGGGATTACTGATTATATGTTAATAGTGTAAAATTCACAAAAACCACAAAAGTGCACTGAAAATCAAGTTAAAGTTACATTGCATGGTGGAAAATTGACAATCATCGACTTCTGCTTTTGGTCCCCAGAAATGTCACATGGTGTACAAAACAGCAAAACGTTCAGGAATTGGTTTGCCTTGTCTTTAGCTAAAATAATGTGATTGTCTACACATTATCTATGTGGCACAAAGCTGCAGACTTTCAATAATTGTGAAAGAACTTAAGGGATTTTCCCATTTAATGGGGAAATAGAGGGCTGATTGGACAAAATATCCAAATATTGCAAGGGTTGATTAAATTTGTGTGCATTTCTGATCACAAATTCCTGGAAGGATGATTAATGAAGGGATAATAGAAATATATCATTTGCTGTATGTGATACTTGTTTCCTATGTTATAAGTGCACTGCATGTACAGTTAAAAATAGACATATTTTCCAGCTTGACTCTCAAGATAGATTTGAAATATGAAGCCTAAAAGGAAATATAAAAAGAAAATGTTTTTGCTTGGATTTGGAATATTACTGTTATCAGTTTAAGCTGTAATATTTGCCTTTCTTTCCTGCTCTGATAGTTTGTCCTTTGTTGCAGCTGCCATCTTTTCTTTTCACCCTCTCTTTTATGAGACAAAAACTTTTTTTTTCCTTTTATCTTTTTCTCTCCTTTTTTTCTGCCTTGCCCTCATGGAAACATGATCTCAGTTGGCTGTCGCATCACTTCCTGTCTCATCGCCTCGGTGACAGCACCCCCCACCAGCAGCAGCAGATGTAGTCCCAGCTCTGAGCTCCGGCTTTTGCTGAGCTGTGGAAACCGAACACAGCCACATTTGCAGAACATTTTGAGAACACTCCACCGCTCGGCCTCTGCGCCCTTATCTCTGTACTGAGGCAGGGGGGAGCTAACCTCAGAAGCAGCGGAAAGTGCTGTCAGCCTTTTTCTAATGGATTTTACGACTTTTGCCAATGTCCTTGTCAATGCTGAACATTCATGCTTTCTGTTTTATCTTCATGTGAAGCTGAAACACGGACTGTCGATTGTGTATTCCACAGACTCACGTCAAAAATGTTGGTAAAGAAACCATAAATAAAAGATAATGTTTGTGTTGTTTCTGGGAAAATATAAAAGCATAACAGCCTATTGATTTTAGTATGTGGGCAACCAGGGACTGTGTGAATATGGACTGACCATGTATATCCTCATAGCTTCTGCAATGTTCAGCATGAGAAAACACAACAAACCATGATCACTTTGAACACAATAGACACACAGCAAATACAGAGTGAATGAAAAGTCCAGGAACCATCCAAAGATCAGTATAATGCTCAATGTTAAATTAGTCTTTTCAATACCAATTTTACATTAGTTACATTAGTTTTCAGTACCAATACCAATAGTGAGACATTGACTTCACCAATACTTTTCTCCTTAAAAACCTTAGATGCTTATATCTGTGCTAAAAAATAAGCTTTTTGTCGTTTTGCAAAAAAAATGTACCCTTTTTGTTTTTTATTCCTTTTTTAATTCCTTTTGGTACTGTGTAAGAGTTCTGTAATGTGTCCATTCTTTTCAGGAGACTTGCTTTCAGTTTTTCAAAGAAATCTTCAGGAATATTTTTTTGCACATCTCCAAAGTTCAGTCTTAGAAGTTGGTTGCATTTTCTGCCTCTAGCAATCTAAGCAATCTAAGTAATCCCAAACACATTTAATGATGTTGAGATCTGGACTCTTAGGTGGTCAGTCCATTTTTCTGAAAACACCAGCACCTTCTTTGTTTGATTTGCAAATTTCTTCTTTTTTGTTTATTTCCTTTTCTCAGTCACAATTTCTTGACAGATCCACATCCTTTCAGACACATAGCACTGAGTTATCTTCTCACAGTGGAAGGATGGACAGAAACTGTGAATTTTTCAGATCTGAAGCAAGAATATCCGAAGCTCTCTCAATGATGAAAGTTTTAAATACTGTTTATCTAATGGTGACAGTTTTGGTGGTCTAACAGGTCTTGCATGGTTGCATGGTCCCATTTTGTATATCATCCCATGGTGTATATCATTTTTTTTGTTGTTGTTGTTTCATTTTTTTCACTTATTTTAATTTTTTCTTATGTTTTATATGTTTTCTTGTGATTATATCTTGTGTAAAACTCCGTAGAAATATACAGACTTATATACATTATATATATACATTTAGTATATATGTATAGTACAGTGTTGGATTTTGAAGAGTGTGTATTGGAGGTCTCCAGTTGGAAACAAGCATGCTTATTGGCTGATAAGACTGACTCTGTAGATATTAAAATGTGATACTGAATGGCACAGAATATATGATACTAGTTAATATTAAAGTAATTTGATCAGTGCTTTAAAACTTTAAATTGAATTTTAATACAATAGCCCTATGTGTACCTATGATCTACAGTACACTTTGGTCTAATTGGGGTGCAAATTTGATCTGACAAGTAGGGGAGACCAACATCGAGAGGCTATAGCCTACATACAATGCTAGCACCACATACAAAATGTTAGATTTCATATATAAAACTACATAAGCAAAGTATTGTATCATATTTCTATGACATTCAATGCTCTATATGTCAACATTAAAACAGGAATTATTAACAGGAATTGCATATAGCGATGCTTTTTAGAGTTGATAGATAATAATCACATAATGTTGATAAAAATAATAGGTAGTGAATTTAGCTGTTAGGCTGTCTGCTTCACCAAGTGTTGCTGCACTCCGACAGAGTCTCTTCTTAGCAAAGCTCAGTGTGTGAGCAGTGCAATTTGACTTGTAATGACAATGCAGTATGACTGGTGTGGGAGATTCAATGGAAAATATTATCACAAACATAACATAAGCTATCTACTTGTTTTGACAACCATCCTGCAACATAAGAATTCATGTTAACACATGAAACTGCACTGTAGTGGGTAGGATGATGTTAGTGTGTAGGTTAGTGGAAAGGTTTGCTCCATCAGACCATGATGATCCAGTGATTTGTCACACTGGCATAGGTGATGACAAGGAAGGACTGACTGCTCCGATGCCTGCGTGTGTGTGTGAGTGTCTGCATGTGAGTGTTTGTGTATGTGTGCATATGCATGTTTTCATGTCAAATGCTTTTTGTGTATGGGATTTGATTACCAGACAGCTTGAGTCACAGTTCTGAGTCATTAGTTTCATTTGCCAGGCCTCCATAAGAGCTCTATCCACATGAGCACTGCAGTAAAGAGGCCTCTATTTCTCTCTCTCTCACTCTCTTTCTCTCTCTGACTCGCTCCTTTTCTCTCTCACCCTTAGCACTCTCAATGCGTTCACAACCTCTCACTCTTCTCTGCAATGTTCTCACTCACAATGCCAAAATGCACTCAAGTGCTGATATACTAATTTAGAGTACATCTCCACATATATGCTACCTTACTGCTGAAACCACTCTAATCAATTCCAGCATCATGAAGCATCTAATATGATTTTAGGACATGATTTTTAGAGTTACATTACAGTGGGGTGTGGAATTTACAACATGTAGTCACACATCCCCTGCATTTATTGGTCACTACAGATTTACAGACACAACATTATTTTATCATAAGTATCATATATTTATTATGGCTACCATCTCGTTGGTATCGCTAGTTGAAAATCAGTCTTTTTTTCCAGTCTAATGTCATGGGGTTCTAATGGCTCGTCACCATGGGAACTAATGGCTTCCATTTAGTTTGAGGTGTGTTGTCGCAGACAATAGAGCGGAACCAATCATAAGTCCTAAAAGCAACATGAAGCCTTTGTTTGACTTTTGCTTGATTGCAGTATTTGGGCAGGAATTGTTTTATAAACAAAATGAAACCATTTAATCTGATCTCAAGCTAATTACAAATAAGTCATGAAATCAAAATAGCCACAAGTTGATAACAGCATCATTAATGTGATGTCAAATGCATTATCAAGGCCACCTTGAAAACAGTATATAACTCATTAATTCATTACTTTAGTAGTTCATTAAACGTGTAGTGAGAGAGACTGAGAGAGAGAGAGGAGAGAGAGAGAGAGAGAGATTGTAAGAGAATGAAACTAGGTTATCCTCTGTCTTCCTGCAGGGTATTAAGCTTGACCATAGCTCAAGAATCTGTTCCAAGGAGGTCCAGGACACACGTGCACACACACACACCCACCCACACATACTCTGACAACAATAGATATCTAGCCACACACACACATACTTACACACACTGATGTCAGACACACACCTTATATGTCCCCTTTTCAGCTTTGATACACACTGGTCACTGGATTCTCCCAACAAATCTTGACCCACAGTTACCTCTCCTCTGATACCTAAGTGTTATATTGTCCTCAGAGTCAATGAGAGGCATGCTGAATAGAATAAGAAAGGTCATGCTGACTTATTTTAACTCTAAATTAGGACAAGCCTCAAAGGTTTTCTTATTCTTTCTAAATTGTGAGATAATCAGACAATGGTATTATATGAAACCTGAATTTTCATTGAGACTGTTTACACTTTGCATTAGCATGAAAACAGTGTTTGGACGATGTTCCGAGTTCACATGAAAAAGCAGGTTTAAACACACCCAGGACATATTGTGGTTGATTACAATCAGATCAGTTACAAACGGAGGTCCACATTCAAAAAAACCTATGTCTGCATACAGTTACACACGTAAAAAACAAGGAAATACAAGATGAAGGATACGCACACTGGAGTTCTCCTGAAACCAGGTACCTTAATGCACCCTGGGCCAGTGAGAGCTTTACAATAGTTTTAAGATAAGACTCTAGTCTAAAATGTATTTAATACCATATCTAATTATAGCAGACAGGTACATACAAGGCACTGTAAAGCTAAGTAGTGCCCACAGAAAACATTTTTTTTTTTTCCAGGCTTAGCACTATTGTTATCAACATTAAATGTAAAACAATCAGAAGACACATGTTGGTCCTTGGTCATTTTGGAATACATTTGTGTACATAATATCCTCAGGTTCATATCACCACTCCTGTAAGAAGAAATTCAAATTAGAAAAGTTCTCTACAATGCAGCATTTCACATCAAACGACTCTGAATTAATTTGTTTCACATTTCACAACACCTGAATTATGCAGAAGTTTTTAATTTCTGAAAACCTTGTATCTACAAACCGTTACTAACTTTAATTTTAGGAATGTTCACACAACAAAAAGGCAGCTGGCATTTTCCAATAGAATAAAAAAAGAAAAAAAAGTTGTGATTATCAATTGTGTGATACACCAGAAGAAATGCTGGCTTGAATGTATATGATTCAAGTGTGTCAGTTGGTAGCGCATAATAGGATACACTGCATATATATCCACTGTCAGAACACTGTAAAATATCATTTAAAAACAAAAAAGGTTAAGGGCATGTAAATACACCATACATATAGTGCACTTTAACACTGGTGTTGTTAATTTACAGAAATAAAATGTAAATTCACAATTCACCATGGGGCCTGGATGTTTTGATCCAGTGTGTTACTCTGGTGAAAGACAATACACACCACTTTATTTCACAGACATTTGCTTATGTCAGAGTATATAGTGGAACTGCTGAATTACAGTAAAAGGCAGTATTACTAAGAAATTAAATGACTGTAAATTTACACATTTTTACCATCATTGAGAAAACATGTTCTACTGGTTTTAAAACGTCCTCTGCTGCCAGACTTGTACTGCTTTCTTACAGATTTTTCTTTCAAAGTATATGTTACATCTATCACTTTCTTTCAGTTCTTCTTTTCAGGAGAAATATAATGATATAACCCATTTTATCCATGTCCAGCTGACTGACACATTTCAATCATGTACATTCAAAGCACCACTTTTACACAGTGGCATACAGTGAATGGTTCTGACTTGAGACCAAAAGACACACCCTCTCTCTCCTCTCACTCTGTTATGCTTCCCTTCTTTTTGTTCATTTTTAAACTTCTGTTCAGTAGCTCTGACTGCTCCCCCTCACCTCTTGCATGTGAATAATGTGCTTGCTGGTATGAATTCACGGATGGTGCTTCTCAAAGCTACTCAGTATGGTCTCATGTTCAGCCTGCAAGTGTTAATTAGCTTCTCTCTATCATGGTTACCATCGAACATTGCACCCAAGAGAGCCGAGCAAACAGCAAAGCCAACTGGGATGGCTGACAGCTTGGAAAGCAAACATACTGTTCTTCCCAGGATGGCAGTCCATGCCCCACCCAGAGGGCACACACACACACAAACACACACACATACACGCACACACACACACACACACACACACGCACACACTCATACACATTCCTCCAAAGACTTCGCCTCGTCCTCTCCCAGGTGCACTGAAATCTGCGGAGCGGCATGCAGCTTGTCCCACTTACTGTACAGTGCGACTGTACCTGTGAAAGCGTGTGCGTGTGCGCGCGCGTTTGTGTTTGCTACGAGCCCGTTGCGACAAAGTCTGACCCACTTGAATGTAGGGTGTCGTATTTCCATGCCCAGACTTGTGCTCCAGTGCTTCTGATGGCACCTTTTACATCTTCCCATAAACGACAGATGGCCAGCTGATTTGGGACATAGTAGTTCTAACATTAACTAACACTAACAACACGTACTGGCAAATACGTAAAAGTTCACGCTGGAATTTGCACCTCTCCTGTTGGGACGCTTATCAATTAGCACTAAACCAGACATGACTTGCCTCTCACACTTCACAGTGTGTGTGTGTGTGTGCGTTGGTGTGTGTGCGTAAGGGCTGGGGGGGTGGGGGGAGTTGTGTAAGTCGCCCCTGTAGTCGAGGCCAAAGAGATCTTGCGCAGGAGCTGCGCGAGCATTTGGAGCTCGTGCTGGATGTTGGCTCTCTCCTCGCTCGCGCTCACTGACCGCAGCCCACTTTTTGGGCACAGAGAGGAGCTCGCGCGGCGTATCCGCTCTCGCTGCGACCCGATGCCGTGAAAGGAACGCTTTACGTTGCATGTGTTACGTTTTACGCACGGCTTTGGCTTCAGCAGCACCACCAGAAGCAGAGTTTTTGGGAGGCTTTTCGGATGGGCGCGTGCGGCGAATAGCTGCGCCTCTTGAGTTCGCTGCTCCTTCCTTGCTTCAAGCATAATCCTGCTCGGCTTGGACGAGGCATCAGGGCGCGTGGGAAATGTGAAGGAGCTTAAAAAGTATGGCATGCAAACATGGTCTCGGCCAAGAAGGAGACGGTGACAGCGATGTACCCCGCTTCCATTTCCACTCTCCTCTACTTGCTCTGCGTGACGGCTTGGTGAGTTCCAAGTTGCTCCGCTGCGCCCGCGCTTCTGCTCTCCTCGCCAGTGTGACCACCAGCAGCTCCCCACCACGCGAGGGGCTCCAACCTTCCCAAACGTCGAGCGGAGCTGCGGGAGCAGAGATTGGTTTTTGATAGTGATAAGTGCAAAAAAGTGGTGATTGTGGTTGTCCATCGTGCGCAACTGGGTGGCGCATTGTAACGCCGTGGTGTGTTGTGTGTATGTGTGTTGTTTGCAGCATCAAGAGAATATCAGGACAGCTCAAGAAGGAGGATAAATTGTATCCGGAGAATTTCACGCGCATACTGGACAGACTACTGGACGGCTATGACAACAGACTTCGACCTGGATTCGGTGGTACGTATGAAAAAGGCGCTCAGCTGCCAGCCTGATGGAGGTCTTTACTGGTCAGTCAACACTGGTGAAGTTCTTCAGGGTAGTTTTACTAGGAACGTTGCTAGGGGACGTTTTTGGAACGCTAATGGTCCCTCATGCCTCTTTCACGAGACTCAGTGGTTATTTTCCGAGCTCTGGCACTTGTACTGCTCTCTTCGTATCTGATAGATCGGTGCCTTCGGATGTTTAGTCGAGTTTCGTTATGTAATAGCCCCGAGAAAGCCGCTTAGCGCACTGTTTAAGTAGGAAGAGTGCAGATGTTCTTTTATTTGCGTGTGCGCGCGAGTGTGAGTGTGTGTGCGCGTGCGTGAGTGTTTTAACCACTGGACTCGATCTGGACGTTTCTTTGCTTAGTTTGTGGAAATAAGCATCAGAATTCGTTGTGTGAACACACTTTTACAGACACTTCTGCTCGTTAAATATGACTGGTGAGGTTTTTTTTCCCCACTACTGAATGTTAGAAGCGTATTCCCTTTATCTGCGCTTAGAGCGTGTGTGCATAGATTATGATCGGCTTAAACTCCAGGGAGGGTTAAATTTTAAACTCCTTTACCCCTTTATAATGTTTCATTAAAGTCCTTTGGACTCTGATATTCACTGCAGGATGAGAGCTCTCTAGATGGCTTATTATGCTCCTTTTTTTGGATCCTGGAGATTTTGTTCTGTGCTGCTCCATTGGAGAAGCTAGAATGAAGCTTCAGGGTTGGGCGCCTTCGCCTTTTTATATAACTTTGGTGAAGAGGCTGAACGTTATGACCCTGAATAGAACTCCCACCTTCACTTGGCATGAGCTCTGCTGTTAGCTAGAGAAGCATGTTGAGGCTGGAAATCTAGGCAGCTGGTGCATCTGATCTTTGTTACTGGACTTGCCCTTGTCATGCACTGACAGTAAACAACAATGAGTTGCAGGGGATTTTTAGGCCTATCTTGGTCTGAAATAAGGTGTTGGAGTTGTGCAGTTTTGTAATGAAGACTGGAAAACTGAAGTAGGCCTGGGGAACTCAGCATGATTCTCCTCATCAAAAGCCACCTATTCATGACAGATTTGGGTTCAGAGAATATCTGCTGGAGAAATTTTGGAAGGAGTTGAAGGACCTAAGCCATACTTAGGTTTGATTGTTGGTCCTGATGGTACTTAAAACTTGGCAGCAGAACATAAGTGAGAGTTTTTTTTTCTTTCTTTCTTATCTGTTTCCTCTCAGAACACTCAGCTGCAAGGGGTAATCAGATGCAGCGTTAGCCTTATTCAGCCATAAACCCACAGATCATCCATTCGCTCAGTATTTGAATCGAGTTTGCTCCCTAATGTCTGTAACCGAAGGAGTGCGCTACCTCAAGAACAGGTTCAGATGGATCAAAGATCTGTCATGTTCAGTGTTTGAGGAATGAGAGAATTAACATGAGAACCTTTTTAAGTGGATGCCAGGTTTTGTTGTCGGGTTCGAAGCAACAATCAGGGATTTCTGAGCAACCGAATGGCAGAACAACAAAGTAGCAGTCATACTGAATGTTCTAGTGCAGTGGAGGAAGGAGGCTGGGGGAGGATTTAGCTCAAGATCTAGCTAAAGATCATAGACCATGTCCTGAAGGTGAAAACCAATAGTCATTGGTTATGTACAATGATCACTAAAAGCTCAAAACATTTCATTTAACCAGCATTCATTGTTATACATAAATGAGTCTAAGCTTCCATCATTTCCAGTTCACACGGGGATTGAAAGAGTTGTTATGGAAATGTTTTTGAGTAGAAACTAATGGCATTACAAATTCCTTGCTTCTGTCACTTTTGAATTTTATTTTTTATTTTGTTTATTTTTACTTTCACATTATGTTCTTTCTTTTTAATCATTGTCATATTGTACGAGGTTTCAGTCTTCACTGAGCAGGTTGTAAGACCTGTTTACACCTGGCATTAACATGCGTCCTGGTTGATCCGATCATAATCTGATCACTCAAACCATCTTCAGAGATGGTCAGGGACACATATAAGCCACATACCCTTTGTATGTTGAGCATTAAAGCGTCCCAGTGCATCCTCAAAAACACTGATAGACCTCCTAATCAACTGCGTCATCACAGCAGAGATTAAAGCATCTGCGTAGCTTATTTTTTCATTTCCTATCCTGTTTGTTTAAGCTTGTCTTAGCAATCCATGCAATCTAAATGGTAATAACAGCCCTTACATTTACATGAACATGAGCTCGCTGCACATTTTTATCTGACAATAAATACAGAAAAAGATTGACATAGTAAATATGCATGGTACCCTTCCTCTAATCACACAATTCAATCCAAGTGTAAACAGGGCCTTTATCTATTTATTATACATAAGATTAAATCAGCAACTACATAAATTGTTCCATAGATATTATAATCAACTAATCAACAAAAACAGACTAAAGTACGGACAAGTTTTAAGCTTTGTGACATACTTTTGTCCATTTCTGTAGATAACAATATATCCAAACAATATATCCGTGTCAGAAATCATATAAGCAAGTATTTGACGATTTAAGTATGCAGTTTACATAATCCTAACTCGGTGACTATAAGCTTCCATTACTTGTTAGCTACATTTGCTTTGTAGTTTGAGTGCAAAAGTACAAATGCAAACTTTGGATACCAAAGGTTGGTGGATACTCGGTCTGAACTTAGTCAGGGCCTTAGTCTATGTATTACATATATGATTGAATAAGCAACTATATAAGTTTTCTATAAACATTAGAACCAACCTAACTGACAAACAGACAAAAGTACAGACAAAATGCTTTAGTATAGTTTGCTACTACTGTTTTTAGCTTTGTGACATGCTTTTACCCATTTTTATAGATAACAGTATATCTTTGAGGACCAGAAACCACTTAAGCAAGTGTATTTGAGATTACTTAACCTAGTGACTATAAGCCTTTATTACTGGTTAACTACATTAGCCTTGCAGATTGAGCGCAAAAGTAAAGAAGCAAACTTTGGGTATTAAACATGTTTTTAAGATAAGAGAAAAATTGTGTGAATTTTAGTTTTGGCCACACCATTGCTTTAATCCTTGGGTTGAGTTTGGGCTATAAAACATGCAAAATAGTTGGCTATGTGACTTGCATGTTTACACACACCACAGTAATGGTGCCTGTCTCTCAATAGGTCGAGAGACTGAGGTGAAGACTGATATCTACGTCACCAGTTTTGGCCCAGTGTCTGATGTGGAAATGGTATGTATGAAATCAGCACCATTTGAAAGAATGTTATAATGGTTTCTAAGAAGGTATTTCTTTGGAGTTAAACATGAAAATCTATTTGTTTGCACTTATCAGTCTGTTTGTGTGTGCTTGTGTTTATCCATGTCCATCTTAAAATGAATGTCTGATTTGTTCTGTAATAATCCATTTCCAGGACTAATGTCAATCATGGCATCTGTCACACAGAAATGATGTGTAATGATGTAGATTCACACCATGCTGATAATTAGCAAGTGAATCAGCCTACCTCCAGAAACACCTCACCATGACGGTCGATGGTTAGCGGCGAAGATTCCTAGATGATGTAATTAGTGCTCTGAAGTGTCAATTTATTATGCAGCAGTTAAAACAAACTGGTAGCACCTTGATTTATGTGACTGATGTCTGTCATGTTATACCTGTAAGGTCACATAGGTTATTAACTTTGAAGAAGCTCATATCTGACTGGTCTGTATTTTAGGAATACACAATGGACGTGTTTTTCCGACAGACGTGGGTTGACCAGAGGTTGAAATATGAGGGGCCAATCGAGATACTGCGGCTGAACAACCTGATGGTGACTAAAGTATGGACTCCAGATACCTTCTTCAGGAATGGCAAAAGATCAGTGGCCCACAACATGACCGCCCCAAACAAACTCTTCCGAATCATGAAAAATGGTACCATTCTCTACACCATGAGGTAATTTGCCTGAAAGAAATGTAAGCATTTATGGATCTATATATTCAAGGTGGAGCTGTGGAAATCTTTCATATTAGTTCCAAAGAAAGCGGGAAAGTGTTTTTGTCAGTCAATGAATTTATGTGTGTGTGTTTTTGCTGTACAGGTTGACGATAAGTGCAGAGTGTCCAATGAAGCTAGTGGATTTTCCAATGGATGGCCATTCCTGTCCACTGAAGTTTGGCAGTTGTAAGTTTTCTCATTCTTTTTGTGAGTATCTTGTAGCAGTGTGCTCAATTTGCTGTTACTGATAACAAATATGGTGACTAAGTAAATACAAAAGAGAACCTTTCTAACGGCACCTTTCTCACTATGACCAGTAAAAGCTCTGAAGAGCAGTGCTCAATACTGCTTCATTTCTGAGGCATACTATCCACTGCACAGTGTCAAAGTCTAGGCCCAAAGCACTGTGATACTGCACTTTTTAAGAGTTTTTCCTGCTCTAATGCCTCTAATGCTCCTGATTCAGCTTATGAAGGGCTTGACAATAAACCGTGGACTTGGATCAGGCTCATTATGTAGCAGAGAAATCACTAGACTGTGTAGTACCGAGTTTAACAGGGTAAGACTTTCTTTTTTAATGGGCCACTGTAGATGCTTTATAGATGCTCAGCTTGTCTTTGTGCTAAAGTAAATGTCTATTACTTTCACCTAAACATTTCCCTAATCCTAAAACCAACACTTCAAACCTTAAATGTTGGCCAAAAAAAGCATTTCTTTCTTCCATTTAATATACAGCTCATGATTATGAATATGCTTGCCTTTTATTGGTACACACTTAAAATGTTCATTAAGAGTTCTTTATTAAAGAAAATGGTTCTATATAAAACCATGAACACTAAAAGAACCCTTCACATGATAAAAAGGTTCTTTGCATGGTGAGAGGGTTCATCAGATTGATGGAGAATGTGCTATGTAGAACCTTTTTGAAAAGGGTTTTATCTAACACCAAAAAGGGTTCTTCTATTATTACAAGCTTGACATCGTAACAATAGAAGAACATTTTTTGGTGCTATATAGAACCCTTTTCAAAAAGGTATATAGAACCCTTTTCAAAAAGGTTCTATATAGAACCAAATATAACATATTCTTCATCAGCCTGAAGGACCCTTTTAAAATGCAAAGAATCCTTTAAACATGCAAAGGGTTCTTTGAGCAAATCTCTGAAAAACCATTCCATTACTTTAGGAGCTCAAGTAAAGTTTATTAAGTAAGTCTTTCTGTTTCAGCTTCACAAAAGCTAACAAACACAGACGCAGTTAACTTGTTTTGATAAAGTATGATGTTTATGAGAAAGAGCAAATCCTGTGAAGCATGAGGAAGAGTCACCAAAGAAGGGAATCATACTACCTAAATATGTTGACAGTAAAACATTTACTACAATAAAAAGCAATGGTGTTGCCCCTGCCTCGAGGGTCATATCAAACTAAGCTTAAATTTAGCTGGGTAAAAAAGAAATACTGCAGTGAGACAGAGCCATGGATCGACAATGCTAAGAAGGTTATCTGTAATTTAAATTACCATCATTTAAATTAACTAGAACCCCAAACAAACATCCAATCATAAGCAATACACAAATTATTCAGTTATACATGTATTAAATTTAAACAGATATGTAGTCGTTGTTATTAGTTGGCCTTTAATTTTACTAATTATACTATTTTTTATCAGGTAGCAAAATAGGGCACCCAAAACACTAGAGCTGACTCTGTCACCAAAAGAACTTGCCCAGAAATCACCTGGCACGATTTCCTTTTCAAACCTGAAAAAAAGTCAGACAAAGCTGTTTAAAAGTACTTTAAAATGCTTAATGGTTCAAAATCATAAAGTTCCATTGGTGATGTACAGACTGGGTTTAGGTAGCAAAGCAAACCACTTCATCTGTCGTACATGACTGCTTGTAAGGCTTCATTACTTTACTCTGCTAGCAACACAGTTTTAAACCAAAGCTTAAAGCTACACAAAGCTAAAACATTCTGCACCACAAAATTAGCATTACTAGCCAATTAGCTCACAGTGGCTAACCTAGCCGAGGCAAACAAGTTCTGTTTTGAAAAATCTGCTCCTTACTGTCCCCTCGTCTGCTTTGCGTTTAGCACGTGGCCACTTGTGTAACGTAGGTGTGACACACTTCCAAGTGGTGAGTCAAAGTCAGCAGCCCTTAAATGTTTTGACGATCAAGTTTCTGGATTTTGATTTTTGAGTTTTCCCCCCAAATTAGTCATGGTCAATTCCCTTTGCTAGCTAGGTCTCCCACTCTCACACAATGCTACCGAGCTGAGAGGGGGTGAAAGCTAACACAAGATTCCACTGAGACTCGTCTTTTCAAACCACTGCTAACATAGCATTTGTGGACAGCTCAACATGCTTGTAGAAGAGTCCAACTGCCAATTGCCAAAATGCCAATAGTCCAAAAACAGATGTGTTCAAATACAGACAAATGCAACATTTGCAGCCAAAAATATGATATTGTCAAACTCCTTCATGTTCATATATGTGCACAATTAACATCTTATCACTCAGATCGTTCATCTCTGCAGTGTGTGTTTTATGCTGCTACAGAACATGACCTCTGTGACTTTGCAAAACTTTTAAATCTGCAGAAACTCATTATGAATTGTGCCATTCAAGCTGAGTTTACTTCTCAGCTTTCAGGGCTTAAGACACCCACAAGCTGGATTTCTTTTGTCAAGTATTGGCAATGGGAGAATGTTGTGTAGCTGGGGAAGTACTTGCATATGCGAGGCTCCAAACACTGAGAGGAAGACAAGTTTCAAACTGGACTGGGAAAGAAAAAGAATGGGAAAAAAAAACTTATCTGGAGGAAGATCAGACTCAAAACTTGCTCAAGCATGAGAAGGTTTTTGCAAGAGATAATACTTTCTTTGCAGCAAGTTTCCACTCCATTGCAACTATCCCTGAATATATTCAGATGTTTGCAAGTAAATGGACTATTTTGCAAGTGGCTCATATTTAGAGACGCTAATTTGATGTGGCCACAAACTTCCTTGTTTCTTCCTCATAAAACAGTGCTGATGTTTAATTTCCAAGCTATACTGTCTGAATTTTTTCCTCCATTTAGTACATGCAGGGCTACAAAATGGCCCTTCTGAGTGTGAGGAATAATTGCTTTTTTTCTCCCTGTGAGAGAGTAAATACAAAATTAGATCATCTGCTCAAAACTCAAACAAAGAATCACTATATCAGCACCAGCCTTGACGATGGTCAGTCAGCAAAAAAGAAAAAACTAAAAAGCAGAAGAAAAAAAAATTTATCTCTGACGGAGGAATCTGTGGTTGGTGCACAGCAGGGCGCTTTTTATCATTGCAAGCCGAGAGATTTGGAGATAAAATCAGTCCAGGAGATGGAAAAAAGAAAGCTGGAGTGGAGAGAGGTTTGACGGAGCCCCTCCCACTGCCGCCCGAGCTGCTTGTGACATTGTGGAGTAGGACACACTAATTTTGCGTTTCTTTTCTGTTGCTTCATCAATCTGGGTTTGGCATAATAGTGCATCTACAGGCCGGTTCTCCGTCTTAGGGGGCCTGGGGGAAGACAGGCAGTCAGGGAGCTGCTGATGGACTCCTGTGGAGCTGAGAAGGTCACTGTGGTTCTTCATTGTGCCTCAGGACTCATGATTCCAATGTGTCAATCATTACCACATTAATAAAATACATTACATCGCATATTACAGTCAGATGTAAGTGCACTGAAGGACAAAACTGATGTGGCAAATTTTATTAATGTAGAAGTGATGTCAGCTTTCTTCTGTAATTGTATTTTGTCATTCTACCTTCTTTAATTCATGTCTTACACTGTCTCTCTTTGTTAATTATTTCTCAAAGTCTGCTTTTACTTTCTTTTAACCCACCCAATTCAAACACTGATTCACACACACCTCCTTGGTTGCAGGTGTGTCATTCTGCTACACTCTTTCTCAACTCAGTATCACACTGCTGTAGGAACTGGGGGGAGAGACAGAGAGAGAGTAAGGGAGAGAGAGAGAGGAAAAGGTCTCAAAGGAGGACTGGGTGGTCTATCATACCCAACACCTCAACATACACTACTGTTATCATATAAATAATTGTTGATATTCAGTAATAACTTATGCAGTATACATTCAATCATTATAAACATAAAATACACCACACGATATTAAGCATTTTAGTCAATATATCATTGTGTTGCATCGATACCACTACTGTATCAGTATTGGATCCGATACTGTGATGAGGATACCGATATATACAAAGCAATTTCTGATGCGTACATGTACGCCAGTAGACAGAACTTAACAACACATCAGTGGTGTGGGACGACAAGCAGCAGTAAAATGCTAATGGCAGAATCTATAATGGAAGTATTTAGTGAGAAAAACATGCTCACGGAGCTGCTTACCTGAACGGCTGAGCTGCTTCTTTCAGTAATCACTTGTCTGCCATGGTGTGGTCACTTACAGTCCGAGTTAATGTTATTGAAAGAGCGGAAAGAACCGCCAGACTCTTGGCATAATGATATTTATCTCAATTTAGCCTTTAGCATAGCAGCCCGCTAACCGGGCCTGTGCGTCCACTAGCCCTGCCTGCGGTTCACCTCCGTCAGTCAACTGTACTGTGTCATACTGACAGCATAAACAACAGTGATATTTACTGATACTAAAGAATCAGGTATTGGTATCAGTATCAGAAGGAAAAAAGTGGTATCAGTGCATCTCTAATATTTCAAGTTTCTTTGTTAGCAAGACGTTATTGAATGATAAATAATATAGTGTAATTATCTCCTTATAGTCATTTCTTGTCAAGTTATCTGCCGAGATTTGATCACCACTTTTGAAGTGTGAGGCATTCTGGGCATTTTATTAGTGATGTAACTGGCTATTTATGGGATCCGACACAGAAATGAGCTCCAGTGCTTAATGTTAATGCATACATTGACATATGACACATATTTTATTCTGTTTTTTTTTTCCCAATATGTTAAAGTTAGCTAATAAATGGAAACTATGCACTAACATTTGCAGAAAATAAAATAGTAATAATAATAGGAATAATAATAAATAAAAAAAAGTAAAACCTTTAGAAATAAAATGTAGAGCTCACAAAACTGTTCTTGAGTGAAAATTGAGTCTGGTGAAGTTCTCTCTTTTCTTCAATTGATTCAATTGATTCCTCATGTATAGGGCTGCAGCCCAGTGGACTTTCAACTGCTCTGCTCATGTTTTTGAATGAGTGCTCATTCGAGTCTCCCTCTTTATGTAGGGGTGGTGATTGCACTGTGCAGAAGGGACAGGCTGATGAGTGTGACACTGCGGCGGACAGTAGAAACAGGGAGGGGTCAATAAACACTGTGCTTTGCCCTATATTCTCTAAAATGAGCACACACATCCGCACTCTGATATAAACGCATTACGCATCACACACTCTTTGTAATCGTTTTATGTGTTCAGATATTGCTTCTCTTTTGCTCACCCCTCACCCTCATTTTGAACAGATCAGCACTCCTTCTTTCCTTTTCCTTCTCAAGCTTTCTCTAGCCATTCCTTTCCTCTCTTGCTTACTCACATTCCATGTCCAACCTCAAATGCCTCTGAAAATCAGTTGTTTTGTCTCTCAGACGCTTACCCCAAGACTGAGATGATCTACACGTGGACCAAAGGACCTAAACACTCAGTGGAAGTCCCTCCTGAATCCTCCAGCCTTGTGCAGTATGATCTAATTGGACAAACTGTTTCCAGTGAAACCGTGAAATCGATCACAGGTACATGCACCCTTATTTTCCACTGTGAGTAGATTTCCCAGCCATGAATGAAACTGAAGGGTGTAGCTGGCATCCCTGCTGTGCAGATTTTAAAGTTAACATGAATAGGAAATCATAACACATCTCCCCTTCATACTGTGATGTATTTATGAATGAAATGCAGTGCCTGGGAGTGTCTCTGAGCCACTGCATGATGATGTAAAAATTATTTAAAAGCAGGAAAAAGTTGCTACATTTTGATGGAAGATTAAGAATATTCTCTTTTAAATTATGTTATATGATTAATCTAACCTTTTCACAAGTAAGTTCTGACTATCTCCAGTGGTCCACCCACAGTGAGTTCTTTTAATACGCATGTAGCTGCAGTTCTAGAATGTGATGCTTACGCAGCACCAGCTCCACAAATGCTAAGGATAATCAGCAGACTGAGTTACATGCAAACAAGATGCACTTTTGAATAAAGCGGTGACACTTAATGACTTCTAATGCTATTATTCACTGGAGCTGACAAATGTAAAGTGTTTAAAAATTGTTACAAATTTCATTCATTCTGGATGTGATGACAGAAATATTATACTGAGATTTGGTGGTAAGATGGTTTGGTGGTTAAGTTATCTTGTGTTTGTAATAATGCCCATTGAGGCAGCATTGACTTGGCGAGGCTAGGTTTGAGTGGGTGGCTCTAGTGGCCGTTTATGTTAAGTCTTGGATGCACTACATGACTTTGATAGTCCTAACAGATCATAAAAAGAGTGAATATCTCACACTGGCTGACTGGTTTCTACAGATTGTTTTTGGGCTAAATTATTGTAGGTTAAACACTAAATGACTTGGGATCAAACCCTGCACAACTTTTAAATTGCTGAACCAAATCGAACTCACTGAACCAGCATGAACACATGCATTCTCACATTACTAGAAGACAAAAATAAACATGAAGTCGCTTTCTGCTGCCGCTACAGGTAAACATATGTAAGTGAGAGTCATGGATGTAAAGGAGTGATCTGTGTGGTAGTTTCAGACATACATGCACTCGATTGTGCTTGTTCCTTGTACACAGATCATTAAAAGCTTAACTACACACACACACGAGTCTCTTTTCATCATTTTTCTTGTAAAATACTGTATTTTCTTCTTTCTCACTTTCTAATTGCATGTTGTAGGAGTTGTTCAGATTGAGTCGCTGACCAATATATACCACGCTCAAAAAGGATGTTTGTTAAAGTGTTCTTTTAGTAAAGGCAATTGTTCTATGTAGAGGCATGAGTTCTATACAAAGCCATTTCAAACTTGATCGGGAGGCAATAAACCTGAGTCTGTGGTCCTCGCACACTACTCAGTTTTCTCAACCAGCTGTTGACTCTGACAGCTCCAACACCTGCAGACTCAGAAAGACTGAGAATTGGGGCTAAAAATGGGGTAAAAGTCATGTAGTGTAACCCCAGCTTTAAGCTGACTGAGTTAATCTTTGTGAGTGTCATAGGAGTGTACTTCGTATGTGCTTCTAAGTACAGTCAGAGCATTCATTTTGCTGCTACTCTGCTTACTGCACATGGCTGATAAAGACTAACAGCTTACATCGATTAATACAGGCATGCAACTGTCACCCTGTTTTGGCTGTGTTTTTTAGGGGCACGCTGTATGTCGTGAGAGGAAAAATCAGCAGGACAGATTTAATGAATGGGTCTAACTAAAGCTGATTGTTGTGTCAGAATTCGAAACTGTGTGTTCTAATGCAGCGTTCGGATCAAAACAATCATACTTATGAAAGGGTTAATATGACGAAGGACATGAACTGTTATGATAATGTGGATAATGTGGCTATTTGAGTGCTAATAGCATCCCCTTGTGGAGAATATTCAGCCTGTTAAATGTGAGTGAGTGAGCTGCAACCCAGATCAACTTTGATTTTAGGTTAACTTTGATTGATCCTCAAAAGTTGATTGTAATAGTCATATTTGATAAAATGCATTAAATTCTTGAGACTTTAGAGGGAAAAACAAACGATCAATCTCTTTACAGCTCATGATTGATCGAACTGTTGATGCTCAAAGCAACACTAAAATGAAAGATTATAAGGTATGTTCTCCCTGATCCCTAACTTCACCTACTGTATGCAAAAGTAAGTACAATCCTGTTTCCAAAAACATTTGGATGCTGTGCAAAACATAAATAAAAGCAGAATGCAAAAATTATATATTTATCCTATATTCTGTCCTATATTTAATTGAAAACAGTACAAAGACAACATATCAAATGTTGAAATAGAAAAATCTTATTGTTTTTGAAAAAGATATGCTCAATTTGAGTTTGATCCCAGCAACACGTTTTAAAAAAGTTGGGATGGGGGCATGTTTACCACTGTGTTGCATGACCTCTTCTTTTAACAACACTGTGTAAGCATTTGGGAACTGGGAGAACAGTTGCCATAGTTTTGAAAGTGAAATGTTTTCCATTCTTGCTTCATATCTCAAAACCTGTAAATATCATTCAGCATTATTGGTGCTTTCACAGATATGCAAGTCATCCATGCCATGTGCACTAATGTACCCGTATACCATCACAGATGCTGGCTTTTGAACTGTGCGTTGATAACAAGCCGGATGGTTTTTAGCCCGGAGGACGCAGTGTCCATGATTTCCAAAACAAATTTCAAATTTTGATTGGTCAGATCACAGGACACTTTTCCACTTTGCATCAGTCCATCTTAAATGAGCTCGGGCCCAGAAAAGCCCAGAGAAGATGGTGGCATTTCTGGTTCCTGCTTATAAATGTTTTTTTCTTTGCATGGTTTTAACTTGCACTTGTGGATGCAGTGATGAACTATGTGCACCATCAATGGTTTTCAGAAGTCTTCCTTAGCCCATGCAGTGATTTCCACTGCATAATCATGTCTGTTTTTAATGTAGTCCTGCCTCAGGGCCCAAAGATCACAGAGAACGGTTTTTGGCCTTGTCGATTGCAAGAGATTTTTCTGAATTCTCTCAATGTTTTGATGATATTATGTACCATAGATGATGAAATCACCAAGTTCTTTTACTATTTTATTTTGAGAAATGTTATTTTTTAATCATTGTTTTATTTGCCTGCGTAGTCTTTCACAGAGTAGTGAACCCCTCCCTAACTTTACTTTTGAAAGACTCAGTCTCTCTTGGATGTTTACTGACCTCTTGCCAGTTAACCACAGCAGGAGTAACGCCACACCTCCAACAGTGGTGGGGCAGAACATATTGTTTAAAAAAACATGAAAGGGGACTGGCTGAGTGAAGAAATGATATGAAGCCACTGACTAAAATTGCTTTTCATGTCATGCCAATTAAATGTATTTATAAGCCTATTCAACCTGGTACTTTTATATGTCTACTCAAGCTGTTTTGGGTAAGGTCCTTTTACTATTTTATGTATCAAAACTTTTACTTGAGTATTGATCTAAGCTGCTCTTCCCACCTCTGAACCTGATCAGTGTCAGTGTTTGTTTTGATGCTGCTTCAGTAGGTGCGGCGTCAGATAGCAGTATTTGTTGGCTAACATCTGTAAAGAACATCAGGCTGTTTTTGTACCCAAATTATTTTATAGAGACTGCGCCACTTTTTTTGTGATATTGTATCTCTTTCATTTAGTTTAGTTAGTGGACTGCAAGGGCTAAAGTGGACTAAATTACACACATGGGTGAAAATAGAGATGCTTATCGTCTATGTGTATACCAATTTAAATTTAACAAATCAGGTTGATTTAAAATGTTAAAGATTTATTTATTAATGATTTAATGATTTAAATTCTAAATGATTCTAAAGTACCTGTTTGTACTGGTCAGCTCTTTAAGCAGTTTAGGGAAAGCGGAGGTTTTTATGTGCATTCTGAACTCAAAAGTAGTGGGGCATCACCACAATACTTTAAAAAAGTGGTGGGTCAAATGCCCCCTTAGTTCCTGCAGCCCTGACGATCAGGTGTTTTTTTTAGCATTACACAACTTTTACATTTAATAAGCTGTCTCTGTAACATTTTTCAATTAAATATAGAGTTTAAATGATTTAAACATTGGTGCATTCTGTTTTTATTTACATTTTCATGGCATCCCAACATCTTTGGAAACTAGGTTGTTTGTAAACTGAAAGACAAAATTGTGTTGATGTGATTAATTTTATTCACATGGAAATTTTGAATCGTGCAAATTCAACTCATTATTTATTTACAGTGCACATTCTGTCGATGAAAAGACTGAGACTGACCTCATATATGTTATAAAACATATATAGCAAGTTTTTGAAAGTAGTATTATCTGACATATAATGTAAAACACATTTTCATTTCTCTAATAAACATGGTGCTAATCATAACACAGCATTGATATTTCTTGTATGTGGCCACTCTCAAAACATATATCATGAAAAAAAATCTTTTAAAGTGGTCTATAATGTGTTTTGCAACGAAACCCTTCACGTTTCTGAATATATATGTTTCTCCTCAGATGTGTGATTTGCCTTAGATGTATATTTGCCATAGTGGAGTGTGTGTGAAGTGCTGTACATTTTCACAGTACTTGAATAATTTAAATGAGATGATATTACAGTGTTGGGGCAAGTGGTGAACTCTAAGCTCAGTGTGAACAGGAAAATGTACGTTCAAGTGCATAATCCTCATAGAAACAAAGGCAAAGGCAAAGAAGTATGAGTGTCTGACAAGAGGCTTAGCATTTCAAAGTTGTGTCATCCAATTTTGCATTAGTTTCAGCTCAATTTGAGGAAAAAACCAAACTAGTGGAATAATGTAAATAGGCACTACAAGTCCAAGGTCAATTTAGATAGGATTTTTTCTTATTATTTATTATTTTTTTGAGACTTCTGTCCAACCACATGCTTTGGATCAAACACATGGTCAGAACAATGCTCTATTTCATCAAGCTCATTTTTGATTAGGATGATGTAATGGGTTTTGTTTTGTTGTAGTTGGTCTTTGCTTGCATTTGTACTTTGTCTGTGTAACCCTGTAACATCATTAATCACAGCTCTAAAAAGACTTACTGAAGCAACTAAATATTGCAACTAAACAATGTTCTATGTAGAGAACTAATTATTATGATTGTATTAATCCTGAAAAAGTAACTGTTAGTATCTGATTTGTATGTGCGGTGGGTGCCAATTCTGAGACCACCAAAAATGCTTCCATTTTGCATTCTTATCTGATGTCATACAAAGTTTTTCATGACAAATTACAATATCAGCATAACAATCTGAGTGAAAAGTAGAACAAGAAGTAGAAATGTGAACATGAATTTCAGAATTAGGTGTGTCTCCCTTTTGCTTTAATGACAATGTGCACTCAAGCAAGCTTGCACAAGTTTGTGCAAAAGTCTCTGACGAGTAGATCAAATTCACCTGTGGAAGGACTACGAGTTTAAAAAAAAAAAACTGACCTTTTTGTACAAAGGCCTCAACATGGTCAATGTCATACATATACTTTGAGTTTGAATAGTGATCTAGAAATAGTACAGGATCTTAAATATCCCCTTTTCATTTTACGTCTCATATTTTTCTTTATCTAAATTTTTTATTGTTTATTTTCAGGTTTAAAGGGGAAAAAAAACAGATTTTCAATGTACTCTCAGACATTTGGACCCCACTATTTATATGTTAGAGTAGGCAAAATGCAAAAATCTAATATCACAATACTTTGTTTTCACAACATATGAAGTTGTAGATATAGAGCTAAGTGCATTCATGCCACAGTATATTCTTTGTACCCTTTTATTTCACTTAAGTCTTTGTGGCAGCCTGGAAAACCTTTCATACAGCGAAAGTTTGACTTTTTGAAAGATTTATTAAAAATTAACTCTTTAAAAATTTTAAGATACCTCAATCAGAGAACTGGTTATGACATTTTAAAGTCCACCAAAAATGAGAAAATCACATTTTATTGCATTCCGTCAATTTTCCACTTAATCACAAACCAACAGGGTACAAGTATGGAGATTTTCGGTTATTGTATTCATGAACCTTTTCGACACCTATAGACATTGTGCCATATGAATTCTAGCTTTACTTGTGCACATATCAATAGAAAACTTAAATAACAATTGTAAAATATTGTACTTGTAACTCAGATACACCAGTTGGTTGATCTGCTGCAGACCTTTCACTTTCGAGTTTTGACCATAAAATAATCACTGATCAGTTATTTCCGTTTAGTAACACAAGTTGTTCGTGTTAACACAAGTGAGATGATTCACATATCTGGCACTATTTGCACTCTCCTCTGATTTCTACTGTGATGCAGAAAATACAGAAAAATTGTAGCATGTGATTTTTGACAGTTCATTTTATTTATTTGAAGTTTATTTTTGGGTTTTCTGCAAAACAGAAGTCAGCAACTTCCAATGGGTTTCTGCAGACTGCCACTTATATTTCAAGCAAGGACACACCCACAGCTTTAGCTAACCTAGCTCTCATCTCTGATACACTGCTTGTCATGACATTAGCTAGATTGAAATGTGGCTATTTACATTCTTCACACGTGCATTTCAACAAAGCGACTCAGTCAGTCAATCAGTCAGCCAGTGAGCGAAAATGCTTATCACTGTCTAGGTCAGCCCACTAGGCAGTCCGGCAATAAAAAAAGCTATGAATACATTGAATATATTGAATTTTATTGAACGTTTCACATACTATGCTGCACTAAATCCAATTAAACAGGCCTAATTATGCTCTTTTGTGAACATGCAGATGCAGAGGTCACTGTACTTTAATTACAGTATCTATCTGTCATGCTAAAAAAGCATGTTGTGACATAAAATAACATAATGTATTACGATACTGATAAATACCGTCGTTGCCCACTTCCACGTGTATGTCAAATTAACTTTTGAGGGCATACCTGTAAAGCATGGTACTGAAATTGTCTGACATGAAGTCCATTTTAATACATTTACATCTTATGTGACTGTCTTAATAAGAGAATAAAACATCTTTGTACATATTATGAATATATTGCAAAGTACATTGTGAAACAGTTTTTGTGAAGAACACACTTCTTAACCTCTAAGCTCTTTCATGTCTTGTATATATTTTTCTCCACTGCAGTCATTGACTCAAATCAAGCTAATAAACTGCTTCCTGTTTACTGCTCTCTTTCAGGTGAATACGTGGTGATGACTGTCTACTTTCACTTGAAACGGAAAATGGGCTACTTCATGATTCAGACATACATCCCCTGCATCATGACAGTAATCCTTTCCCAAGTGTCCTTTTGGATAAATAAGGAATCCGTGCCCGCCAGAACTGTCTTCGGTGAGTATTACTCACAAATCCCTTACAATGTTCTGGCTTTTTCTCTCACATAGGCTCAAACATTTCCATTCTCATGCAAATATAGAAGAGGAATGGAATTGAGAGAAAAGTGTGGCATGCCTCTCTCTCTCTCTCTCTCTCTCTCTCTCTCTCTCTCTCTCTCTCGCTCTCTCGTTTCATTTTTAATGACTGTTTCCCCAGTTTCTGACTGTTTGATTCTGACTCTTCAGCTGAATAAGGGATAATTGTCTATAGACTTGAACAAGCCCATTTCTGTTTCTCTCTCTTTCTCTCACACGTTCAGTCTCTCACACATGCACACACCCCTCCTGTTTCTTTACCTGGGGCAGCAGAGATGCTGAGAATAGCACGCTCTCATTCTTTGCTGCGAAAATGTACCATTGACCCACCTTCAGGTGGCTGCTCACAGTGCGGCGTGTTTGGAGCCCTGCCAGCGGAATGGGCTTTTAAGTCCTGCATGAACGTGTGGTTAGTGACACCAGCATGAGGCTAATGACAGCATTTAGAGAGCGTGAGAGCTGCAGAACAAGCGAGGGCCGAGAACATAGTGTTTAACGGTGGACATGCTATTTCAAAGGAGCATGGCATGGTGTCATAGAACCGTAACCCTGCGTTACCTCGCGTCTCACTGCCAATACTTTCAGAAACTTAGCTCATTTTTATCTTTTTTGAAGGTCTCTATGTGGTTAACAACTCCTTTATGATGATTTAGTCTTCACACTGGTTGTATTTATAGGAATTAACAGGATCATGTGACTTACCCATGTTACTTTGTCACATAATATGTTTGTGATATAAGAAAGTTATCAGTGACTGAAATGTTTGGACTGTCTTTTTGTACTTTTTATTATTTTTTTTTTTACATATTTTTTAATCGCTTACTTTGACCTTTCATTGTTTTTTTTTAGTATGCAGGGTTTTCCCAAACATGTCCAGACTGCTTTTTAATGGCCAGTGCACCTACAGAAATATTGTTTTGACTGGTGTGATGAGTTAAAATCTGCTTTTGGAGTAGTTGGGACACATGTCCACACATAATTCAGCATTTAGAATTGGAGCTTTCTGTGTGCTACTGTGTTTTCACTATATACAGTCGTATGCATAAGTTTGGGCGCCTCTGGTCAAATAACATAATTTGATGATTTTCCAAGTGAAAATAAGTTAAGACATCCTCTACAGGGAACACACTCCTGCACACTTTAATGCACAATTACTGTTTATTTGCTGAATTTGACATATTAGGGGAAAAAATGAATAAAATGTTATGAAAAGTTAGGCCACTTTTTTATTTTTTAATTAATTTATTTACTTATTTATTTATTTAAATAAATAGAAATTTGGCACTAAAATTTGCAGAAAAAGGCCATATTCAGCTTCCTTATAGACGACGTGTTAACTTATTTTGACTTAAAAAATCAACAAAACATGTAATTGGACCAAATGTGTTTAAACATTTACATGCAACTTTATTTCCATACTCATATATTCTTCAAAAGTTTGGAAAACTTTTTGATGTTTTGAATTAAATAATTCATTACAAGACACTACAATAATTATTAATCAAAAAACATTTTATTCATTTTTTCAGAGAAATAATAAAGTGTAGTTATAATCTGTTCAATTATCTGTTCCATTATCATTATCTGATCATTATCTGATTTCTGATCTCACTGGATTCTGGATATTAGCCTAATTTTCAGTGTTATACTTTCATTTTAGAGTCATCTATAGCTCCGCTCTTCATTCTGGACAGCTCCATTAATTATTCAAAACCTGTAAAGCTGCATAGCAGGACCATATTGGAATCATATTCCAAACGAACTAAATATTTTTATTTCCATTTTTGTCAACTGTTACTTGCCTGAATCGTTTAAACACAACAGTTGCTCTTTACACTCTGTGAGAAAGTCATAATGAATGGGCCAATAGAAAAGCTCCAAAATCAGTTCTAATAAAACCTCTTTACATTGAATTACATTAAGTTAAGAACATTTTTTGTAGTAATGTTTGTGCTCCCTTTTGGATTATGTTTATGATGGACTCCTACAGTATGATGAATTCTGCTGAGAAAAAGGGGTTTGAGTGATGAGGCATTTGCTAGATGGCCAATGATGATGCAACATGACATACCTAATGACTCACTGTGCTGATGCATGGTGCTGTATACTATTTAGTCATACTTCTCTGATTAGTGATGTAAACGCTGAGTGTACTCAGTTTGCTTTGAGCATGAGTACTGTATACAGGTCTGTTTAGTGCTCTGAGTCACTGCTGTGCTTAAAGGTATAGAGAAAAATCTAATTTGAACAGTTTTCCCCTTTACCCCAAGTGTAGTCAATCAGCAATGACCAATGTTCAAAAATTGCTTCTTTAGTTTGTAGTGCAGCAATGTGGCTAATGTAGCTAAGAGCTAAGTAATGGAAGCAGCACTTCACAAACTGCAATCTTCAAATAATATCAAGTAGATTATATTTATGTTTATGTTGTTTCCAACAGTGTATAACTTGCTGTTGTCTATAAAAATGATAAAAGTTCAGTCAAAATTCAAGCCTCAAGATGTCTGCTGCTACTGTTTTTAGCTGTGGAGTTTTATTACATCTGTTTTTACACATATCATTGTCATACAGTGTGAGAAACCATAGAAAGTCTATTTGAGATTAATTAAATATTAATTGATATTAAAAAGGAAGCTTACATTGCTTTTTATCTACATTAGCATTGTAGCAAAATTAAAGAAACACACTTTAGACAGTAAATATGTCTTGACTGATCTAGACTTCTGTAAACTGAATTTTTTGCTAAACATTTCCTTCAAAGGGGAATTCCACCGATTTTTGTAAATTTCAGTGTAATTCTATGTTTGAGATAAACAAAGTCATTTAGAATGTTTTGATGTAAAATTGTTCATTGTAGAGATCTGTCCACAGTGTATCCTGCCTTCTGCCCAATGACTGCTGGGATAGGCTCCAGCACCCTCACGCGACCCAGAAGGATAAGCGGTTTAGAAAATGTGTGTGGGTGTGTGTGTGTGTGTGTTCATTGTAGAGAAACATACTGACCCAGATTTCTTTACAGTGGTTGTGATAGAAACCAGGGTTTGCGAAGTCTACAATGCAAATTTAGCCATTTTATTTACTGTCCAAAACCACCAGTGAACTCACACGAGTCTTCAAAATGTTTATATGTAATGCTGATGATGGTAAAACTGTGATGAACTAAGTTTTCTTTGGAGACTATTTAGTCTTTCAATACCCTGCGTGTACCACTCTGGTTTAAAAAAAATAAAACTATATTTTAGGTCATAACCTTCTGGAAACTATCGTAAGACAATGTCTCAGACATCAGGCTGTGTATTCATACCCATTTCACATAATAGCTTTTATTAAAGGGGCTTTTAGAAGTATTAAACACTTCAGGAGTCTGGTTCCTATCACTACCACTGTGAACAATTCTCACTCAGTAAGTTTCTCTAAAACAGAGCATTTCACATCAAACCACTCTGAATGACCTTACATCTTAACCACGCATAAATTTAGAACAATCAGTAGAATTCCTCTTTATCCAGTGCCCTCACCCTGAACCCAGCTACAGTCGATTCAGGGTCATGATCCTTTCGTTGGCCCTTCTGGGGCATTCTTTGTGATCTTTTTTTTTGGACTGTAAAGACAAAAGAGAACTAAAGCAAGGCTTACATTTGTCTTTTGAGAGTATATGACAGAGAACATGTGCGGTCCCTCAGGCAAAATGTGGCCTGTGATGCATTGATCACTCTTCTTCTGCATGTGGATGTCTGAGTGTCATAAACTTTCACAGAGAGAAACAGAGGAAGGAGAAAAAGATAATAATTAGCCAGTGCAGTTTGATGCAGTCCAGTGCGCACGGTTTTACACTATGGCTGTTTTCATTTGAAACGGGCCAATTAAATAAGCCAACTGGCTGTTGAAAATACATTTCGTAAGAGAGTTTTCTACTTGTCAGTTACTGTCATGATTGTGTATGTGCCTGGATCTCTTTAAATGTTGGATGTGTTGTGGTTTGTGTGTTTGTGTGAGGGCGTGTGTGTGTTTGCGTAAATATTGTCGCAGTGCCTCTGCCCACTATGTGATGCAGTCAAGTGTGTGTGTGTGTGGGAGGAGTAGGAGGGGGATGCTGGCTGCCTTTGTGTTTGTTTGTGAGTGTGTATGAGAGAGGGAGCGTGCATATGTATGTTTTTGTGTGTGTGTGTGTGTGTGTGTGTGTGTGTGTGTTTGTGTGTGTGTGTGTATGTGTGTGTGAGACTCAAAGTCTGGCAAGCTGGACGCTTCATGGCAGGGTTGTGTTCAGGGAGACAAAAAAAATCCAATTTCCAGATTTTAATTAAGAATGAATTAGGAGCTCCCCCTTGTGGCTGAAAATGTTACAGCATGCTATTGTAGTATATTACTGTTGTAATAATACAGTTTTACTTTCTTGCCTGTATGCAAAAAATGCTTCTTACTGTTAAAAGGGATTCAGAACTTTTGCAGTTATTCAACAACATAAACATGCAATATCTGTCTATGCCGATGACATTTTATTGTATATTTCCAATTTTGAATCTATCTCAGATATACTAGCAGCATTCACTAGGTTTGGAAATTTTTCAGGTTATATGATTAATTGGATCAAGTCATCTCTTCTCCCTCTTAATAAGAAAGCCAAAGAAATTCAGACATCACCAGCATTGGTCTCATTAATTCCTGTAAAGAGTCAGATTACTTATCTCGGGATTGACATAATGGCCTCTCTGCAAGGTATTCTTGATACAAATTATGGTAAAACTCTGACTGAAATTCAAATTGATACAGCTAGATGGGCAAATATACCATCTTCATTACAGTCTAGAAATGCGACCATAAAAATGAATATACTGCCACGTATTAATTTTTTAAGTGCAATGATTCCTCTGTCACCCCCGGTAATCTGGTGGAAAAAGCTTGATTCAGTAATTCGCAAGTTTATTTGGAATGGCAGGCAACCTAAAATGAAATTAGGTACATTGTGTTATTCTAAAATGAAAGGAGGTTTATCCTTACCTAATTTTATAATGTACCATAAAGTTTTCCAACTCCGTGCCTTAAAGGTCTGGTTCGACCCAGTCTCTCATGTTCCTTGGAGACAAATTGAGGAACAGTTAAGTGTGCCTATCAGACTTCAAGATGTATTGTTTTCCGGATTGTCCATAAAATTCTGTTCGCTAAACTTTGGTCCCATTATGACCAACACTGTCACAAATTTCAAAGCCGTGGAAAAAATATCTTGGTTATAGTGACCAAGGTCATTTACAAACCCCACTTTGGCATAATAGGAATATAAAATCTGGTACCAAACCTTTTACGTCGGAGCAATGGAGAAGACAGAATATTAAAACTCTTGATGATATATTTAATTCAGAGGGGATGTTAAGCTTTGAAAATTTAGTAACAAACTTTAATATACCAAGATCTTCCTTCTTTTTTTTATTTACAATTACGTTCAGCCCTTAAAGCATATGGAATTCCATGGGGAACAGGCCTCAAGCCACATCCAACTTATAGCTGGGTCGTTAATGCACCACCACATGGTCTTGTATCAACTATATATTCTCACCTTACTGAAACGTTGTATAAGAAGCTCCCAATTCAGTCTATCTGGGAAAAGGAACTATCTGTTAATTCAATTGATTGGAACATAGTATGGCGAAATATATTTCATGCATCAAAGAACCCCAATCATCAACTGGTCCATTTTAAATATTGTCATAGGTTATATTGGACACCACGAAAACGCTTTCTTACAAAAACTGCAGTACATCCCTGCTGCAACTATTGTCCACAACAACCAATGGGAACTTTTTTGCACATGATGTGGGAATGTGGGGATGTTAATGACTTCTGGATAAAGGTTACTACCATATTATCTGCCCTGGTTGGACAAGAAATTCCCGTGGATCCAGCTGTATTATTGCTAAATGATGACTCCAATTTAAACTTAACAGGCAAACAAAGGAAGATGTGTCTCACTGGTTTAACATCAGCTAAAAAAATTATTCCACAGAGGTGGCTTCACCCACATAATCTAAGTGTACGACATTGGCTATTTCAACTGCATGACATAGTTATGTTGGAATTGGCCACAGCTAGGATTAATAAAGGTAAAACATCTACTCTTGAGACATGGAAACAGATTTGTTGTGATGTGACAAAAAGATTGGAACAAAGGCTGTGAGGTACATCTTGTAAGCTAACATTCTTTTTTCTTTCTTTTTCATTTTATTTTTTGAAATGTCATCCTTTGCACTAAATCTTACTTAGTAAATAGTATAAAGTATGTACAGGAAATGGGGATGGATGGACCAGTGGGACGGGGAGGGATGGGGTGGGTAAGGGGGTTGTTTTTTTTTATTTCCTGCAGTTCTGTAATGTTGTGATAAAATGCTGCTTGATTAACAGGAAACAAATTAAAAAAAAAAATTGATCACAAAAAAAAGAACTTTTGCACAGTTAAATAGTTAAGATGTAAATAAAATCATTCAGAATGGATTGATTGGGCAATGTGCAATTATAGAGAAACTTAAATAGCCCAACTTTTTACAGTGGTGGTGATATGAACCAGACCTCAGAAGCATTTAAAGCCTCAAAAAACTACCCTAAAAGTCAGTTATTACATTAAATGGCTACAAATATGTTTGGCCTAAAACTACCTACTTCTTTGGCCTATTTTTTAAAATAAATGGCAAAGAAGTAAATGCAGTGTATTATAAAGCAAAATCAGTACCCATTTTTTGTCTAGATTTCAAGATAATTCTAACACTATTTAAATTTTTAAAAATCTAATTCCGTTTGGAAAATTCCCCTGTTAAGATGTCCATATGTCAGTATGTACTTTTTGGGTCTTCCATAATTCTCTGTGTTATTTTATTCATGAATGACATCTGGTACAACCAAGCGTCTTTCCAGAATACAGCATTCTGTGTTCTCCTAGTATATGTGGCCCATGGCCCTCACTGTTCACTCCTGGCTGAGTCTAGAGTGCATCCGTTCCTGTTTACCCCCATTGTGTCTGAGTGTGTTCCCGTTTCTGTAATCTGGTGCCTGACCTCATAGCACAAATTAAGACAGAGCAAAGGTAGAGCTGGAGCACTGACCCCAACACTGGGCTCTTCCAGGTACTTTGGAGACATTTAGCTTGACTGAAGTAAGGCAGAGGCTTATGTAAAGTGAACTGCACAGTCACAGGAAGTTCTCTGGTAGACAGGAGTAAGGTGAAGAAGTGGACAGCCCTGTCTTTGTTTTTGGGTGATGGCAAAAACACGCATGAAGGGATTCCTACTACTGCAGCACTGTAGAGAGAGAAATATCATTCTGGAGACACCACTGGAGACATGTAGGATATTCCATGTCTGGGTTCATTTCATTTTATGGATTATTGTACTGAAGTATTGTATTATTGTATTGTTGTTTTCAATGCTGTTTACAAATGCAAGGAGAGTGTATGGTACATGACTTGATGTAGTATATAAGAGATCAAAGATAAATAAATCAATTTAAAAAGCATATCAAAATCATGCATCACATTTTTTTTCATTTTTCTTCATTATTTGATTATGACTTCTCTTATAAAGTGCCCATTTTGGAGATATCTTTTTTCTTTTTTTTGGCTGGGGGAGGCAGTGATGATTTACAGTATGGCCTGTTTGAGACTGGGGCATATCTGTTCAAATTTGGCCTTCTGCATGTGCAGTATTTAGATCATGTGCTGTATTTCTAGTGTGATTAGTAAAGCCTTCCCTTTATACAGTTGTGTACAAATGTTTGAACACCCCCAGCCAAATTATAACCACATTTCCAAAAATGTTGGGATGCTGTGCAAAATGTAAATAAAAATGCATATGATATGCAAATCATTTAAACCATATATTTAATTGAAAATAATACAAAGACAACATATCAAATGTTGAAACTGAGAAATTGTATTGTTTTTTGAAAAATATATGCCCATTTTGAATTTGATGCCAGGAACACATTTTACAAAAGTGGGGACGGGGCAACAAAAGACTGGTAAAATTGTGTAATGCTAAAAAAACACCTGGTGGAACATCTTACAACTAAGTAGATTAATTGGCAACAGGTCAGTAACATGATTGGGTATAAAAAGTGAGTCTTTCAGAAGTAAAGGAACATAGCTAAAAAAACAGTATTGGCTGGCCATGATCTTCTCTATGTAAAAATAATTTTAAATAATCCTCTATTTCACAATTTTAAATATGACATTTTTCTGCAAATTGCAGTGCACAATTTATATTATTTTCCTGAGTTGAACATATTGGAAAAAAATAAAATGTAAGATATAAAGTGTCCCAAAACTTTTGCACAGGGCACTTTTTACATTTTATTTTTTTCTCAATATATTAAATTCAGCAAATAAGCAGTATTTGTTTATTTGTAATGCACAGAACTATGTTCTTTGTAGAGCATGTGCTAACCTATTTTACTTTGAACATCAAGGAACTATGAAATATGTCCAGAGGCGCCCAGACTTTTGCATTCGACTGTAGTCGAATATCTGTAGTGTAGAAGGCATTCAATTGACTGATATTGCTTTTTTCTAATGCTCTAGATTAACTTCTACCAGTTGTAATGACGTAATCCATGGGTCTATTCCTTTATGATCATCAAAATACATTGTTGTATCAATTTATTAAGTCACAGATTTCTTTTCAATCAAATAGAGTAGAATTAGCATACATGATCTTTGCTACCTCGACATAATATGCAATTACATATAATGTTAATTTTTTATTTTAGCGAGGAAAACTTCCTCAACAGGTTTTCCACACATTGCCTTTCATTTTAACCAACGCCTGCCTTTTTCTTCCTTATTTTTTTTTTGCCTCTCTTTTACAGGTATCACCACAGTTCTCACCATGACCACTCTGAGCATCAGTGCCCGCCACTCTCTGCCTAAGGTCTCCTATGCCACGGCCATGGACTGGTTCATCGCTGTGTGCTTTGCCTTTGTCTTCTCCGCCCTGATCGAGTTTGCAGCCGTGAACTATTTCACCAATGCCCAGGCAGAAAGAGCAAAGAAGAAACAAGCCAAAGCAGCTGCAGCCGCAGCAGCTGCAGCAGCCACCAAGAGCTCCACACCATCCAGCAAGGGCAAAGACACTGAGGAGGTTCTGCAAGTGAGTACAGTAACAAGTCCCCATCAAGAACGTCAATCAGTATTTACCGCCTGTAGAGTGAAGGTGTTTATTCAGAGTATATAATTCAGAAGCTAAGTTAACCTCTTAAATTGTAAGTTTATTATTCAGTTATTAATCTTCAGACAGAATAATATGTAAGGTTGTAATCAGTATCAGTGCTGATACTGGCACTTAAACACAGTATTGATAGCAGTGACCAGGATAAAGATAACACATAGCAACTTCTTACACCAGTAGATGGAACATAACAAAACGCTGGCGTAGTGGACTGACCAGCAGCAGCAAATAGTAAAATATTGGCACATGGTAAAATATGTAACACCAGTATTTCATGAAAAGATAGTAGCAGTGGGTGATATATGCCAGTTGGAATTCTTCCGAAGGTGTTTCACCAAGATGTCACAAATACACCAGATAACACAAACAGTGTAAAACACGATAACAGGAGCTACTTGCCTCAATGGCAGAACCAGGCTTCCTTCAGTAAATATTCGTCTCTCGCTGTGTAGTCAGTTACACACACACACACACACATTTTCTAAACCGCTTATACTTGTGGGTCACTGGTGGGGTGCTGGACCCTATCTCAGCAGTCATTGGGTGGAAGGCAGGATACACCCTGGACAGGTCACCAGTCCATTGCAGGGCAGACAGACTGAGAGACATATACATCCACACACACACACACACACACACACACACACACACACACACACACACTTAGTCAGTTACAGTTTGAGTTAATGTAGTTTAGGTTATCAAGGGAGCAAACATTAGACATATAGAAGGAACCACCGGTCTTTTGGGGTAATGATATCCTGTAGTCTTGGTTTAGCCTTCAGCAAATCAGTGTCCACTAACCACACCTGCGGTGCACCTCTTTGGTTCAGTTACATCACACAGTGGTTTACATTACTAATCTAAACTCAGCTTATCTTCTAAGTGTGTGTGTAAATGCCATTCATTAAAGCTGGGTACGATTTATTAGTGACTGAACACAGCTTAAAAAGTAGATTTATGTTTAGGACTTCAAGACAGGTTAGTTAGTTTTAGTTAGTTTCGGTATCAGAACGTGGCATCGGATGATAAGATCAGGTGTTGGTATCATTAAGGGAAAAAGAAGTATCAGAGCATCCCTATTAATCTGTAACTTAGAAGAGTCAGCAATTGAAGTGTAGGACCTCAGCTCGGACTTGCAGTTCAAGAAGTTAACATGCAAAAAAAACAAGCAAAACATTTTTAAAAGGCTACTGGCTTTCCATTCCAAACCAAAACAAGGATCAAGAGACCAAAAAAAAAGTTATTCACCCTGAATGTTCTGAAAAAGTAGATAGATAAAATTCTTACAGCAATAATTTGACAAAAATATATAAATTTTCCCCCACCCCAAACATAGACCATCATCCAAGGCGTGTTTGGTGTTTGAAGTTTGGTTCTTTAGTTTTGCGCTATGAGGCTAATGTAGCTTACAAGTAATGAAAGCACAGCAAACTGCATTCCTAAATCATCACTCAAACTGTGTCAAGTTAATATGTAAACTCATTTGGACATGCTTCAGGGATGGATTACTGACCAGGCCATTGGTGCCAGTGCCCAGGGGCCTTGGGGGGGCCCCCAGACAACAAGGCTTGTGGTGACTTGAATACTGCAGTGGACTGTCCCAACATTAGATTGTAAACATTACATAAATAGCTTTTGAATATTAACAAATATTTAAATAGATGAAATAAATGACAAGTGTATCTGTTTTCAGTTATTACAGACTCATATTACAGTTGCCATTTGAATGGCATGTCAGCATTTACCTTTTCATGTAGATAGGCCTACATCTGTTTTTGTATTACAACTCAGTTTGACTGACTGAAAAAAGAAGAAATTTTGATTTGAATCTTGCAGAGGAATCTTCAAGTCTTACACAAAACTGTTATGATATAGACACAACATGATATTGCACATTAATAAAGCTAATAAAGCAAATAATTCAAAACAGACAGAAATGGACATAAACACAAACATGAAATATTTACTTTTTTTTCCATCTCTTACATGCTTATGTGGTTTATGCAGTTTGTGGCAAGTTTGTGTCAGCTGTACAACACAAATTGGCAGGGCATTATCGTCTAGTATATGTTAGCCACATCAGCCCTACTTTAGCAAAGCTGAATTTACAGTCAAGTGAAAACTGTGTAAATCTGATTTTTCACTTTAAATTCAGTGAGAAAGTAGGCTGCTCTGACTCTAAGCTTCCTGAGAATATGTGGCCTTATGGTGACGTGACAGGGTAAAAGGAGCATATTTGTGGGAGGTGAATGTGTGCCGTACAGTATTTTGAAGAGATAATGTGTGGAAGCTTAGATTCAGGATTAAGAAAGGCACACAGTCCAAGCATGACTGCGCACATTCTCGTTTGGCCCTTTACTGCAAGGAAATGAATGGTCACTGCTTCTAACTGCACTGTAATCTCCTACATGCACTGTATGGTCTCTGGATACCATTTATAACCTTTTGGAGTTTACAGCCTTTTTCCTTCTACAAACACATCGTTTTTTAGTGACTTGTGAGTCAGTGTTCTGAAACCAGAGACCTACACAGTGTGTACCTGCAGGTACAACACACCTGCCATCCTAAGAGGCAGCGTAGCAGCAGATGAGGCAGCAGTGCTCATGTGTTTCACTCCATGCATGCCAAGCGTAATCCAGTGGTAGGGCTTACAGACATTATCCCTTAAATGTGCCTGTCCTGAACGCACAGCATTGCTTTCTCATAATTTCATCCGGTATATGTGACATTAGGAGGGAATATGCATGATGTTGACCTGCTATCAATGCAATAATGTTTCAACTCTACCTTAATGGCAGTAAAGAGCAGTAATTAAAAAGGCAGCAGTTGAAAGGCATCCCATGCATTATCACTGATTAAAAGAGCCTATAGCTTGATTGTATGGAGTATATAGAGGAAACCTTTGACTTTTGATTAAATTATTCCTGACAGCAATATGTACTGTTGCTTTTTGCGGTTATTCGTGTTTAACCCTCACCAAATGCATAGACCTCTGACATTGTGTTGTCATTCTTCAGGTGGTGTCACATTAGGAGCTTTGGGTTTAAGCTGATTTTCTGTGGGAAAAATGAATGGTATTTTGAAAATTGCTGCTATCGCTCCTAAATAAATACGTTCAAAATACAACCCCATTTCCCAAAACGTTGGGATGCTGTGCAGAATGTAAATAAAAATAGAATGATGTGCAAATCAAGTAAACCATATTTTTAAAGGAAAATACTACAGACACAACATATCAAATGTTGAAACTGAGAATTTTTATTGTTTTTTGAAAAAAAAATATGCCCATTTTGAATTTGATGCCAACAACACGTTCCAAAAAAGTTGGGGGAAGGTTTACCACTGTTTCATCACCTCTTCTTTTAACAATATCTTGTAAGCGTTTGGGAACTGATGAGTCCAGTTGCTATAGTTTTGAAAGTGAAATGTTTTCCTGTTCTTGTTTGATATAGGATTTCAGCTGCCTTAACAGTTCGGGGTCTCATTTGCAGTATTTTTCATTTCATAATGCGCAAAATATTCTCAGTGGGTGACGGGTCTGGACTGCAGGCAGGCCAGTTTAGCACACAGACTCTTTTAATACGGAGCCATGCTGCTGTAATACATGCAGAATGTGGTTTGGCATTGTCTTGCTAAAAATAAGCAAGGCTTTCTCTGAAAAAGACGTTGTCTGGATTGCAGCATATGTTGCCAAAACATGTTTATATCTTTCAGCATTAATGGTGCCTTCACAGATGTGCATGACACCCATGCCTTGTGCACTAATGCCCCCCCACCCAATCATGAATACTGACTTTTGAACTGTGCACTGATAACAAGCTGAGTGGTCTTTAGCTCAGAGGACACAGTGTCCATGATTTACAAAAACAATTTCAAATTTTTATTTGTTGGACCACAGGACACTTTTCCACTTCGCCTCAGTCCATTTTAAATGAGCTCGGGCCCAGAGAAGGCAGCAGGGTTTCTAGATCCTGTTTATATGTGGTTTCTTTTTTGCATTTTAGAGTTTTAACTTGCATTTGTGGATGCAGTGATGAACTGTGTTCAGACATTGGTTTTCAGAAGTGTTCCTGAGCCCATGCAGAGATTTCCACTACAGAATCATGTCTGTGTTTAATGCAGTGCCGCCTGAGGGCCCAAATTTCTCCAGAATCTCTGGATCTTTTAATGACATCATGTACCGTAGATGATGAAAAGCAAAAGTTCTTTGCTATTTTACGTTGATAAATGTTGTTCTTGAATTGTTGAAATACTTGATTGTGCTGTGTTTCACAGAGTGGTGAACCCCTCCCCATCTTAACTTCTGAAAGACTTTGTATACTCAATCACGTTACTGACCCGTCGCCAATTAACCAGGTTTTTTTTAGCATTACACAACTTTACCAGCCTTTTGTTGCCCCGTCCCAACTTTTTAGGAACGTGTTGTTGGCATCAAATTCAAAATGGGCATATATTTTGCAGAAAACAATAAAATTTCTAATTTTCAACATTTGATATGTTGTCTTTGTATTATTCTCAATGAAATATAAGGTTCAAATGATTTGCACATCATTGCATTTTGTTTTTTTATTTACATTTTGCACAGCATCCCAACATTTTTGGAAATGGGGTTGTACATTTTGTCCACTTTTTCTCCCAAATGTCAATGGATTGTCAGAATTACAACGTTGTTATTTAGTCAAAATACAAAAACATGCTGTAGTTATACTATAGTTTAAGTAACCGGTGTTACTTATAATCATATTAAAGTTTAATGGCAGACTTACTTTCACATGACATGTGCAGGAGGGTTAGCTTGCTTGCAACATGGTATGTGGCATTGGTTGTATTTCTGCTCAAAATGATCTGCTCAAAAAAATTCTTTGAATTTTAGGCTTTGCAAGCTCATGTTCTCTTCAAAGTACATACAACAGCAGCACTGGGAAGTTGTCAGAGAAAAAGAGAAGATTAAAAGGCAGAAATAGACGCTTTTTTTCGCTTTTGGCATTAAAGGGTTAAAGACAGAAGCGGCACTCTCATTATCAGTGCTCTCTGAGTTGTTTATGAGGAGAAAATCCCAATAAGAAATGATGTGAAGCTGACGGAAGTTTAATGGACTACCACCCGGATGGTGGATTAAGGGGTTGCCATGGCAACATGCTCAGTGCACATCTGTATAGGTTTTTGCGGAGCTACAGAAAGCAGAGGGGAAATTAATACTCTTTTTTTCCTAGAGAGAGAGAGAGAAGGAGGGAGAGAGAGAGAGGGAGAGGGAGAGAGAGAGAGAGAGAGATCTTTGAGCTTGCCACCACTTTACTCTCTTTCTCTCCCTTTATCTCTCTTGCTCTCTCTTTTCTCAACTCATTTCCTAGCCACCACAGAACACCAATTAAATGCAGTCTGCTGTTCTTTTCTCAGAGGATATGGTTGAAAAGCATAAAGAAATTGGACCAGCACATACGGGAAAAGAATTGCGATTACACAACTTATTATGGTGTGTTGTTTCTTAGTATCCGTTCAGCTTCAGGAGCTAGTCATTCCAACAGTAGTTGTTGGAGAATATAAAATGGCCCTAGCTTTATGTTAGAGCACACACACACACACACACACACACACACACACACACACACACACACACACACACACACACAGATACACACGTTCTGCCCTTTCTCATCAGTTGATAGTACTGTAGAGGCACAAATGCGTGTAATAAAGGCAGTAAATTCCACTGGCAGGCATTTATGTTGTGTACACAGTAGAGCTCAGCTCGTTGGCCCAGGCGTCAATACACACACACAGATACACACACCCCAAGGGTGTCATCCAACCGTGAGACCACATCAGTCAGGGCTACAAGTTTTCATCAGAAGTCCACTCACAAATGCCGTTTTTCCGCCAGTGCAGCACGATATGTTTATAGTTCCAAACCCAGAACTAGCTGTAGACGGGTCAAGCACTTGTGTCTGTTTCCCATCGCATAACAGAACTGTCAATGTACATGGAGTGAGTTCTCATGATTTCTCACACAAATCTAGTGATAACAGTTAAAACAAACAATACTAGCAAATGTGGAGAAGCTTGAAGCTCTGATTTATCTTTCACTCTGCACTTGGTTTTGGTTTTGGAGACAGCAATGCTGGTTTGCTAGTGTTTTTTTGTTTTGTTTTGTTTTTTAATGGTTATCTGACTCCAGTGACACCGGATGATGTTTGTATGACGATTGTATTTGACCCATCAGTGGTTTGTACCATTACTAGCTCCATCCATATGTTTTGGTTTGGCAGGCTTGGTACCCCAGCAGGTAACTAAATTCAGCACGGGTGCTCAGGTAGCGTACGGTGACAACAATGACAACAAAATGCATGATCACGAATTTGTGAAAATATTTTACCTCACTGTCCAGTGGAAAAACACACACCACACATTTGTTTTGTACAATGTAAAGAAATAGAGAGATTAGAAACAGTGTTTTGGTGTTTTCAAGGTGACAGTAGCTCATCTGTTGCTGCATAGTTTGTGTTTGTCATCCTCTAGTCATTTCATCATTGGTCACAGATCTCTGCCCACAGGACGCTGTTGGCTTTGGTTGGTGGACTATACTCACTCCAGCAGTGACACTGAGGGGTTTAAAAACTCCAGCAGCACTGCTGTGTCTGGTCCACACAGACCGGCAAAACACACACTAACACACCACCACCACATCAGTCTCACTGCAGTGCTGAGAATGATCCACCACCCAAATAGTACCTGCTCTACTGGGGTCCTGAACATTAAAGAACAGGGTAGAAGTGGGCTAAAAATGCAGAGAAACAGATGGACGACAGTCTGTAATTGTAGAACTACAAAGTGCACCTATATTATGGTAACTGGAGCTGATAAAACGGACAATGAGTATAGAAACTAGGAGGTGATTTTAATTTTATAGCTGATTGGTTTATGTCCCATATGTAGGTTAACTTAGAGGAAGATGCCCTGCAAGATAATACGCCCCATCACCACCACGGCCACGACTTTATTTTCTCCTGTGATCAAACAATGGGGCCAAATGAAATCTCAGCTAATTTACTGAATGGCTATGGTCTAATTACTTCAGAAATTTCATCTGGAACACTGCATTCCTGAGATTTATTCAAATGAAAACTTTTTGGGATGAGCTGATCTAACTTTTTGTCATTAGATAAAAGTGACCGAGGCATTTATTTTCGATTACACAAGACAAGTTTTTAAAAATGTGTGATAATGGAGAGGCCAGATGGTATACAGACAAAGCTGGCCACTGTTCCAGCTTATCTTCCTTAACTGCACTCTTAAAAAAATGGTTCTTCAAGAGTTCTTTAGGAAAGGCAGTGGTTCTATTGTGAACCTTGAACAATGTGAAGCCATTAATGATTTTGTTCATGGTCAAATGGTTTTTCTCTTTGAAGGAAAACTGGATATGTATGTTCTTTTTAGGAACCCTTTTAAAAACAGTTCTATATAATACCAAATAGGATTACACTATTGTTTGAAGTCAAGGAACCTCTATTCAGTACTATATAGAACCCTTTTTGCTCAGAGTATATGTGTAGGTTTGTGCTCCTGCACAGATGTGGAAGGATTTTTTTATTTATTTATTTTAGCTTTTGGACTATTTATTTTTGTCCATTCATTATGAAACATTCATACAATCTAAAAGGTACCTGACATTTTTAAATGGTCTGAAAAACAACATAAATGGAGATGCGAGGTTTTGATCTGACAGCAACAATATTCAAGTGTCTATATGTAATGAGCGTTTTCTAAGCCTCTGTTTTTTCTTCAAAGTCAGGACATTTTTGACCTGAAAATGTATGAAAACCAACCCCCACACACACACACCACACACCACACACTCACACAGCAGTGTGGAGTCATTTCTCTCCATCTCCCTTCGTGCAGTGTGATGTAAGCTGTTCAGATAGTACAGTTCCATACGCCTCCACCTCACTCCCACTGACAGTACTGTAACACACACAAAAAGCTTCTTACTGATGCATTAGCATGAAAGATAGGCCTATGGATATCTCTTCTGGAGCTGATGCCTCACCAGAGATGTGTGGTTTTCTGCAGAAACATGTGTGGTTAAATAAGTCTTTTATTTCTATGTGTCTTACTTAACTACTTTTAATCAGATGAAGTATTTAGGAACATCTCAAAAATAGTAGTGTCTTTCACTGATTGAGTGATTAACATTTGGTTGTCAGATTAAAGATTATTTTACAATGTACATTGTAGATTTGTTTGTTTTGCTACCAATAGTTTGAAAGAAAGAAAGAAAGAAAGAAAGAAGGAAGGAAAGAACGAAAAATTAATGCAAAAATAATTGAAAAAATCTTATTGTACTAATTTAAACAAAATGTGTGCAGGGGCGTAACTAGAGTTTTATGGATATGGGGGCCATATGGGGGCCGAGTTAGCTAGCTAACAAGCAACTGGCTGAAAACCAGCTATATTGACCACAATTTGCTCAAATTCATGATGTAGGTAGATATCTTCACTCTCTAAGTACTAACTAATTCAGACTCTGCATTGTATATTTTTAATAAGGCCTGATCTTTATTGCTGGATGCTTTTAGCTAAAATACAGTCACAACTTCAACAGTTGCCAACCAGTGTTACTTCGCAGAGTGAGTAGCACCAAAGACCCTCCACCAGATCTGACATAGTTGGCTTACAGCTTACGAGGTCTGATATGATTGGCTTACAGCTTATAAGGTTTGATATGATTGGCTGAGCCAGCGTTACACTTTTCCCCAATGCTAAGAGACTGGCGAGGACAGCAGAGGACGGCTATCTCTTGTGTTATGTTAGAAACTCTCTGGTAGCACCATCGAGGCAGTGGTGGATTAAAGCAGCATTGTCTCCCCCAATTCATGTCCTGCTATCACAGTATGTTGTGAAATTGGAGACACAATGGCACAGTTAAATAATAAAGAATAAATGCAAAATACTGTTGATGACTTGAACTAATAATATACATTTATTTGGGTGGGGGGTAAATGATATTTAGGGGGGCTTAACCCCCACTAAACTTAAACTAGCAACACCCCTGACTATATGAAAACAAAAGCAGGACCTGCAGTAATGCCTACTTTTAATTCTCACAAATTTGAGCCTCTCTGATATGAGGAGGTCATGAGGTTCATTTTTAGTTCTAAAATAGCATCTCTTGCCAGAAGAGGAAAAAAATAGGTGAAACTAATATTTTGATGTTTTGTCAGTTGTTGAAGTCTAAGTTAAACATTATGTCTCTTCATTTCTCCCACAGCAAAACTCTGACACTAATGGCAACCTACGCAAACGCATGAACTCCACGACTCAGTCTCAGCCTGACTCCAAAGGCAGCCAAAGAACCGAATCCTCCAGTAAGAGCACTGTTGCTGTGAGCAAACAGCTGCAGACAAGTCAGTTATCCTCCAGCTCAGGCGGAACAAGCAGCTCTGCTAGCCAATCACGGCTCAACCCCAAATCCTCCAGCCAATCCAATGCAGTGGCCCAAGCTTCGACCTCCAAGACCACGCCCCCTGCCCCACCATCCACGCCAACAGTCCCTGGGCGGTCGTCGGGCAGCACATCCACCGGTTCCGCCTCTCTTCACCATCTTTTAGGGCCAAAGTTGGAGAATATCCAGAAAATGGACACCAAGGCCCCACCCAGTCAACCAGCAGCTCCTGCGGCGGGAGGGACCAGCAAGATTGACAAGTACGCACGCATCCTTTTCCCAGTGTCCTTTGGGGCTTTTAATATGGTGTACTGGGTGGTGTACTTATCCAAAGACACCATGGAAACAAAAGGAGGCTAACCACGTCAGATTAGCGTGTGTTTTTTTTATAATACTCCGTCAAAGCCAAACAGCAAATACAGAGGATCACATCTCTCAAAGGATTGTGACAAGCATATTTAAAGCAATTCCTAGAAATCTAATCTTATTTAAACAAATGGACAAACAAACAGACAAGCACCTCAGAAGATTATATGGGTGAAATAATTCTGAAACATCATTTCTGGGTCCTTTTCGAGGATGAGCATGTGGATACAGAACAAAAACAGCCCTAGCATTCTCTCTGAACCGGATCTTCGATTCATCTGGAGCCTTTTTTCAAGTGGTCATAAATTGCAAGGCACATTAATTGTAGAACTCACCGCTGCAGGGATATTGCCAGTGAAATTGAAAAAGAAAAAATCATTACCATTTAGTCTATTTTTCTATAGAGACGTTTTCTGGTGAACCGCTCAGTGCACCACTAAAGATAATGTTTTCTGGCAGACTTCCTTTTAAATCACTTTTTGATTTTTAGTTTGAATATTGTTTATTTATGTCCGTGTAAGTAACCCAGCCTATGGAGCGTCTGTTGAATGATGAGCTGAGATCCTCTAGGCTGAGAGTTTGCTCTGTGTGGGCGGACCTTGTGAGCAGGCCTGGACCACCCTGCAGATTGCTGACCAGCAGCAGCAGATCTGTATGCATGTTTTTTATTTCTCTCTGACACAAGGGGAATTTACAAAAGAAGCTATTCTATCTTTATTTGTTCTTTAAGTACGGTGATTTTTTTGTCATTATGGAAATTATTTTTGTTTGTTTGCATTTTGCATAGGAACATTCACCTCCAGAAACTAGTCACCCTGCAGTAATCTGCATTTTGTCAACTCTTTCTCACCCATTTCTTACTTAGTGGATGGCTATTGTTTGTTTTTTTTTTCATGCAGTATTAGTTCACTGGAAGTCTGTTATATTGATGAATGACAAATGGCATTATGATTGAATATGTGAATATCATTACCATTGTATGAGCATCCACAGCACATAATGCACTATAAGGTCATAACTTGCATTATCCATGGAACATGAAACCCCTTAATTTTTTTTTTCAGATGTGTCGGACTGGCTTGACTTTACAAATTTTGGGTGGGCATTATGTCTGAGTGCGTAATGGGATTGAATACTGAATGATAAAGGACTTTATAAACACTTATTTTAAGGTATGCCAGTGACCAGCAATAGTGGACGGCTATACATTGTTCACATTGTCCAGATTTTCTTTACTTCTTCCCTTCTACACCAACCTTTCTCTCTTTCCCTGATAGTAAATCTCTAGTGCTCTAGCTCAGTCTAGATTAAATGTCAGTCCAGGAAATAGACTGTTTAAAGGCCTGTGTGTGAGCAAATGCACCCATCCACATTTGCTACATTTCCACTTCAAGAACCAAAAACCAGCGGGTTCAGCTGGAAAGACTGGCCCTTTTCGACATGTCAAACAATACAGCCTAAAAGCGAAACTATAGAAGCTAGCATTAAGAGCTATACAGTTACACCAGCATCTTATAGAATTGCTTCTCAAAAAACAAAATGCAGCTGTAGTTTAGATCCAGAGCTGGAATCCTCTATGAAAATGCAGCACAGTAGCAGGTTAGACTCCCTGGTCCTGTGTTGGTTTGCCTCTGAATTTATACATTGGAAATGTGGCTATTGTGCATTGAAGTTGATTGTGATCATACCAATGAAATCTCTTAATTGTAACCTCCATGTAGATGAAAGTGCTAATAGTGTTCTGGATATCAGACTGTCTGCATTTAAGATGAGTTGGATGACCAGGCCCACTGTGATAAGATAAGACTGAAGGGACTCGAAGGAGGACATAGGTAGAACATATTCACAAACAGGATTTCTCAATAAACTACACAATGTAAGCCAAAACTAGAGACTGTCCAATAGATACATTCCCAATATCTTCTTCTATTAGACAGGCTGGGCTTGGGCTTGTGTTATCTGGCTAATTGAGAAATCTTGTTTTGTGTTGAAACATAGGCTAAATACACCAGGCTGCCACTTCATTAAGTACACCTCCTTGTTTCTACACTCTTTGTCCACTTTATCAGGTCCAAGTTTGTGCACTTTGTAGTTCTACAACTACAAACTGTAGTTCAACTGTTTCTCTGCATAATTTGTAAGCCCCTCCTTCCACCTGTTCTTCAGTGGTAAGGACGCCCAAAGTACCACCGCTGAGCAGGTATTATTTGGATCATTCTTAGCACTGCAGTGACATGGTATCATGGTGGTGGCATGTTAGTGTGTGTTGCGCTGGTATGAGTGGATCAGACAGAGCAGTAATTATGGAACTACAAAGTGCATCTGGTAATGGACCTGTTAAATTGGACAATGAGTATACATACAAGGAGGTGTACTTAATGAAGTGGCTAGTTGGTGTATTGGTGTTTACTAAGCTTTGCTTTACACTTTACTTAAAACAGATTGCAGCTTCCACCTGCTTAGGAATTAGTGGAAATATTTAGTAAAAACTAGTTTGTCTGGTGCAGCCACTTTCTGATTTTGTAATGTCTAAAGCTTAATTCACATTATACCTAGCCTAGGTGCTGCTGCACAAAACCTGGGCTAAACAAATCTTGGATTTTGTTTAGTCTGTCGGGGAACTTTCTCCCTGGGCTAAAACTCAGCATTGGTCTCCAATAACCTGCAGTGGGAGAAGATGAGAATTAAATAGATGCAACAAGAATAAGGTACAGGTATTAAGCATCAGCTGCTCAGCCTCTTCATTTGACCTCCCCCCTACCAGTTCCATAGCACACTAGACCTGCTACACCCACCCCACACCTCCAGATCTTTGGCCTACAGCAGACCTGTTCTCATCAATAAAAATATCCACCTCTCCTCATCTCTTTACCCCTCTAATTATGCCCTTATTGATCGTTCAGGCCATTAACAAGTCAGCGTGCCATTCTGTAGACAGTGATTCATCTAAAAAACAAATGCTTCGCTGTTTCTATTCCAAACCATCACCAGTGTATCAAGGCATGAATCTGTGTGGAACATCTTTCAGCCCTTTGTTTTCATTACTAAGAAGAGAAACCAAAAATGAAGGAATGATTTCCTCAGTGGTGTTGCCTCTACTTTTCTGTTTCTGTTTTTTCCCCTTTCTGTGGTGCTCTATTTGAGTCGCTGGCCCAAAGGCTAAGCGTTAAGTGGGTATTTAGTAGCAGAGGGTCCCCGGGGGTATGGCCCAACGTTCCAGACGCTTACCTCTACTGGGAAAGTGTCACTTATACAAGGCACCAGGAGGCTTATTACATTTCTCTCCCTCTGCCTCTGCTTTTCCCCTGTCTCTTCATTTGTCTTTCTAATGTCCTCCCTTCTCTCTCTTGCTCTCTCTCTCTCTCTCTCCCTCTCTCTCCCTTTACTGTGCATGTAAATAGCGAACATTTTTTGTGTAGTTTATGGACAAGGCTATCAGTGGACTGATGAAGCGATCAAAAATGTCTGCCCTTTTTGGCTTCCCCGGAAACGCACTTGAGTGTGAAATTGACTTCATGCCCTCGCCATCACCCCTCCCAAAACCTCTCTCAAACACACACACACACTTTAAGCCCTCATTAACCTGCCAGCTTCAGGGTGGGCTTCTTCCTCCCTCTGTTTCCCCCTCTGTGCCTGAGCAGCAGATGCTAATATGCATCAGAGTGACAGTGTCACAGATGAAGGTTAGATAAGGACAAGCACTTTGCTGCTGTTTTAGTGGTGGGCGATCTGACACTATATCACAGTAGCCTTTTCAGAGAATATTGTGAATATCATGAGGACTGAAAGACCACTGATCATATTTCATGCATTTACATTTATTGCATTTAGCAGATGTGTATGACATGTAGCAAAGCTATTTAAAGCTGTACTACAATACGCTAAAATTGAAAGGATTACCATTACTGAGTCAGAAAGGGAAAAAACACTAAAATATGCTGTCCATGTGCTGCTGTGGGTCACCTGAAATAATAATTTAAATAATTTAATAATTAAATTTTTCATTTCAACAAATCAGGAGCACACATGATCAATTGTTTGAAAACAACAACCTCTGCCTTAGATGGTTGTACCACTCTGGAAGCCCAAAGATCATTTTTAAAAATATGGCAATATTGGTCCTCAGAAAAACAAAATATTTTTGGAAGTGGAAAGCGCCACTATATTATATTTTGGCCATATTGCCCACCCCAAGCCTGCTTATATGCTAAGATCCACTAGACTGAAGAACACTGAAAGTGTGGAAACACGGGGGACCTTGATTAACAGTGTTTTTGGCCTCAAGGTAGGTTTCCTCACCCTTAGCTTCTTCAATTTGCACTTCAACCACAGAGAAGAGTGGCTGCTTGAGTATAATGCAGTCCAAAAAGCATGATATTATACCATAATATTATCTCAGCAAAAGCAAAGGAGAAATCTGTGTCCTAGCAAGATAAGCCACTTGAACACGTTTGCTTTTGTGCTTTGCTTTATTTTTAGCTGCTTTTATTCCTTTTTTCTCTTTTTTTCTTTCTTTTTCCACCACAAATGTTACTGCCCTGTTTGTATTACAGCTGACTGAATTGAAGTCTCTGCAGGCTCACACGTGGATAGTTGACAGCTTCTATTACAGGTCCACCACTGCCACTGGAAAAGCAGAGGAGAGAAAAGGCCTTCCTTTCTTCATACAGGCACTGGCAAGATGGAAACCATGTTTAGTGCACCCTGCAGAGTGTATTTTGTTCTCCACACGAAGAACAAATATCCATAATCTCCTACTGGACCGCACCCAAAAAGGAATAAATAACCAGGGGAAAGAGAAAGTGCGCTAGGCTTAACAGTTTTCTTGTGGACTTGTATTGACCCTCTACGTGAGGTCAAATGACAACCAAGAGGAATAATCGAACAGCTTCCTGTATATAGTCGTACCAATAACCGAATGTCTTTGCAAAAACGAAAATTAAATCATATACATTTTGTGTTTTGTAGTCAAACGAATATTGTTTTACTATTGCCCTATGCAAGGTAATCACCTTAGAACTGTCACATAGAGCATGGGCCTCACCTGGTTTCCAGAAATGAGGTCATCACAGCCAAATAATGAGTGCAAAGGTTATAATAAACATGCACATCAGCCATGGATGGTCTCAGTCTTCAAATGCTGTTTTCAGTTCAATTAAAATTTTGGGTAATGAATCAAAATGAAGAGCAAAACATACAAAACATATTTCAGTTCAGGAATTTCAGTATGAATATACATTTACAAGCAAAATGTTGTAATACTCATGTCAAATTACATGTTTTGTTGTTGTTCTAAGTGGAAATAACATCTACAGGGATCAAACGTAAATGATTTATGACAAATTTCTACAATGTCTTTGCATTTTATTGAGTTTTAACAAATTGGGAAAAAAATAAAACATTACATCGCTGCTTTCGGGACAAAACCTTTTTCAGTTTTTGACATAATTTGAAAATGCTTGTTGCCCTTTACATTGTGTGTACATTTCATGCTGAATGGACCAAAAGAAATGGCCAAAAATGACTTGGAAAAAAAGTCTGGTTCCGTTGACTTACATTAAAAGCAAAGAAGGTTTTTTCCTTCTCCTGTAAAGTTATTATTTTGGAGATATGGGGTTTTGTTCCAACAGCAGCGATATATTATGTTTTATTTTTCCCAGTATGTTAAACTTGGTAAATAAACAGTAAATGCATTAAAATGTGAGATCAACAAAACATTTTAAAATTTTTAATTGTAAACGACTGTGATATCACTGTCATAACAAAATCTCATATCTCAAAACAGTAACTTTACAGAAAGAAATACTTTACTG